ATAAAAACAAACAAAAGAATGAAATGAGTGACAATCAGAGGGGATAACGTGGTAACGGTTCGAGTTGATTAGCATTTGGTGAAGGGGGGCCAAGTTCACGTGCATATCACATGGAGACTGAGCCTCGTACGGCCAAGCTAAGTTCGATTAGAAGGTCCAGTTTGGCCCATTTATATAAACCAATTGAGAGAGAATATTTTAATTATTATTATAGTATTATATAAAGGGGACACGTGGGACAGCTATCACTCGCCTGTGGGGACACCTACAATCATCACCCGACATTTTGTCTCTTATCATCATCATCATCATCATCATCACCACCATCATAATATCTCATATTCCATGATCGCACAACCTTCACTTGTAATTCATCGCGCGTGTATTATACCAACGGTTGATGATGGGTTTATGGGTTTGTTTAGACTTGTCAGGTGGAGAGTGGGCAGTGAGTGTGAGTTTGTTTGGGATTGCATATATTACGGATATAATTTGGTCATGTTGACTGTCTAATTGAGACAACTATAGAATTATTGGTTTCCTAATAGAGTTCCCCTATTTTTTGGAAGGACACTCATTTTTATTGTTTAGTCACATTACTTAATAATTTGAGATTCTCTTATATTGTCTTTGGATTCATGAATTTACCTTCTTTTTTTTTTAATTTGAGATTTAGGAATTTTTATTCTCAGAATAAAATTTAGGAATTTTAAATAATGTGCGGTTTAAATTAATTTGAATTTTATTGTATTTAATAAAATTAAAAAAAAACATTACAACTCCATGAATTGGTAAAGCCTTGTACTAGGTAGTGGGAAGTCTGAATGGATCTGGGTAGAGGGTGAAAAAAGGGATTATGAAGAAATATAAGGACCAATAATTGGTATTGTCCCATAGGTTAGAGGTATGCCCTACAATTGAAAGATAATTATTAGACAAGGTTAGAGGTAAGAATGGCATGCGGTAATTATTAGGAAGACAAGGTTAGTAAGTGGAATTTAATTGTTTGTGTAGACAATAATTGATAGTTTTATCCTATTCCCTATAAAGTGAAAGTTGCATTCATTTTGAAAACTACATCAAAAGTCAAAATTCAAATGATGATACTGATAACTGATTTACCATTCAGGCATAGGGCCACCCTCCCTTCCTTCCTTCAATGTAATTATTTAGTTTTTATGTCATTTCCCCTCTCTATTATTTCATGTCATGACATGACATCACACAAGTATTCAACATAAATTCATGTATGTATTTAAAAAAAAAAAAACATCCTTAATTTTTATTTTACTTATTAAATATTTTAACTTTTAAAATTAAATTTATTTAATTACTTTATATGATTTATAAATAATGTCGATTAAATACTTATTAAATATTTAAAATTATAAAAATTTTTATTTCAAAAATTATGTTAACCTCGTGCTGAATCAATATCTTACGTATAAAATCAAAAATCTTATATAATATTATTTTTAATCTAAGAATATACTAGTCTCCGTTGACCATCGGAGCCAAATGAACAAAACTTTAAAACTTAATAATAAGCTTTTTTTTTTTTTTTTTTTTTTAATTAAATTATTTAAATTACTTTATATGATTTATAAATAATGTCGATTAAATACTTATTAAATATTTAAAATTATAAAAATTTTATTTTCAAAAATTATGTTAACCTCGTGCTGATCAATATCTACGTATAAAATCAAAAATCTTATATAATATTTATTTTTTAATCTAAGAATATACTAAGTCCCGTTGACCATCGGAGGCCAAATGAACAAAAACTTTAAACTTAATAATAAGCTTTTTTTTTTTTTTTTTTTTTTTTTTGAATGTGAAATGATGAGTGGTAAGGCGTTACATCTTCCATTAAAGGAATGATTCATGGTTACAATGCCATTTTTTTTTTTTTTTTTTTTTTGAATGTGAAATGATGAGTGGAAGGCGTTACATCTTCCATGTAAAGGAAGATTCATGGTTACATGCCATATATGTGTAATAATAGGAGGAGAAAAAGAAACAATTACTAGTTTGAAGCTTTATATATATTTCATTGTCAATGGGTAAATAGGAAGAGAAAATTTGGGACCCACCAATTGAATTGAATGACACATTCCTAACCTAATGATATAGTCACCATTTTCAATAAAAGCCCCGACATGAAACAAGAAATTTTGGGCGTCAAATTTAAGAATTTCAATTGGGTCATCAAAACTTTAAAATTAAGATATGAAAATTGCAATAATAATAACAACTTACTTAGTCAATGATTAAAGCATGCAACTTTCTTTTTTCTTTTTTTTTTTTTTTTTAATAATAATTAGGCACTTAATGATTAGATCATTATCCATGGGCAGATTGGGCATTTCGTGAATGATAGAGGTGAATAGCACGCGCCGGAAAAGATAGTGATGGAGTAAAGGATCAATCCGGGAGGGAGATCAAATGATTGTGAAGAAGTGAGTGGTCGGGGCGTGGAGGGACAAGTTGACACGCACGACTGTGTTGTTGGAAAAGGGGCCCACAATGGGGGAGGGATAGATAGGAGAGACAATGTGGGGACCACAGGGGTGTGAGAGCACGTGTCTCCAGGCAAAGACATGTTGGTCCACGTGAGTTCGAGAGGGAGGCAATGGGGGGGGTTTTCTTCCACGCTTTTCCTTATTTCCCGCACCCTCTCAACCCACGTGAACTCCACTCTCTCTTGTCTCTTTTTTTCTTGTTTCTCTCTTTCTCTCTCTCTCGGTCTCTTTCTTATTATTGTTTTTTCTTCTGCTCTCACACATACCACAAAACCCGCCTTTGGCTCGGCTGCAGCAAAGTATGCTTTTAGGCGTAACTTAATTATATTAATTCAGGGCTATATTAAATTTCATAATATTACTGTTATATTATATATAATATATAATATTATTAAATGATTTGAGATTTTAACTAATTAATATTATAAATATTCGACTTAACTTTGACTATATTTTTTATCTAGGTGTAAATTTTACTCTTTCAATTTTCATTAAAAATAATATAATTCTTAATTGTATGCAAGTTAAAAAAATATGTTAAATCAAATATAATTGAAATTATTTATTTTAAATTATTGAACATTAATATTTGAGAGTTCATGACCGTTGTTGTTGATTTACTTGGTCTCACAAGCCATGAGATCTTAGCCATCGGACCGATTTCGGCTCGAGCCATCTTACAATTTATGTACAATTACTAGGCACCGCGAGTGTATCATCAGAGCACTACTCTCTCTTGTACTCGTCAACAACACAGCTTTTGACAAGCAATACGAGATAAAAGCCAATTGATTTCAATTTAGTGTCAAACACGCGCGTTGGATGGCGACGAAGAGTTGCACCCCGTGAGATGAAAAGCGTTTCCTTCTTTATTACAAGAAAATAGAAAAAAAAAAGTTAAAGAAAGCGACGCCTTTGTCCGGTAATAACACCCTCGTGCCAATAGCATGAGAAAAAGATTTTCCAAAAAGAAAGAGGGGTGGGGGATATGCGGGACCCACTTTTTTATGATCAAAACAAAAGTTGATCTGTCTGCTTCCAATCATCACCCATCCACTCTTGATTTGATGGTTGTCTGTCTTAACTGGCTCCGGCCCTAATTATGTAGCAACAACAGGATATCATGACCCCACTGCTCCTAAATGTTTGATCTTGGCCGTTCGTTTTCAGTGATTTGATTATCATAGTCGTTGGTGTTAAGTTAAAAGGATTGTGATGATGTGGTGATGTTTTCAGGTGCATATAGAAGTGGCCCACTTGGTTAATGATATAGATTCACGGTGATACGCATCTTGGCTTTTGCTTAGATGGGATTTTGAAAGAGGATTGAGTGTAAACACTAATCTACTTGGCATTAGTTTTTGTTTGGTGGGTTGGCAATGTTTTTTTTCCCATTAAGTATAATTTAGCTACATTCCTACTATTCTTCACATGATTAAGGGATTCGCTTTGTGAAAGTATATTATATTTTAGATAAATTTTACATGTAAGATTATAAATTAAAAATATGAAGTTACTGTATCGTTCAGATGTAAAAATACGTAAAAAATAGTTAAAAAGATACATGTAAACTATAGAGCATATGTATGCATTGTGGAATTTATTGACATTTAACAAGAAATGTATTTATTGCTATGAGTTAGTTCGTTATTTAATGGATTGGTACTTACACATTTGAATTTGAAGAAGATAATAATAAAATCAAATCTAGGAATTCAAAAGGTGCATGTTACGCTCTCGTAAAAAGTTGTAGGAAAAGACTTGATGTCAACAATTTATGGTGGGAAAGTAACTTCAAAATTAATGAATTTCTTTTTGACTAGCACTTATGCATGTAAAAAAAAAAAAAAAAATTGGGACATTGGTTTCTTTTTGACTAGCACTTATGGCATGTAAAAAAAAAAAAAAAAAAAAGGTTAAAAAAAAAAAAAAAAAAAGGTTGATCTTATTTCATATTAACATCATTAATTCCCTGAATTTAAAAAAAAAATATTCAGCCAGTGTATTTATTCCATGCTCCATATTCATCTAAAGCAAGAAATTATATATGGTCAAAATTGATATGATTTTTTTGCTTTTTTGTTTTTGCATAGTCAACAGTCAACAGAGCAGTTTCTTGACAAACTGTACACACTTTACGGTATACACACAAAAAAATGTAGAAAAGAAACAAACAAAGTAAGTAAAGAAACAGTCTTTGTATTTTGGTATTTATTTACCATTCACCGTGGTTAAAATTTTATATAAAAGAGACAGTAAAAAAGAATCAAAAGGAGACAGACAAGGGCAGAGAAATTGTTATTGGCGCAAGTAAAGAAAAACAAACTAGAGTTAGGTATTATTTTTTGGGGAGGCAAAAGCCATGATTGAGATAATTGGCCTCCTGACACCAAGTCATGATTGATACTTACACACACGCCACTCCCATTTCTCTTTTCTTTCTATATAATCTCCTACGCACCCTTCCCATCCTCTCATAACTCATAACTCACAACTCATCTCTCTCTCTCTCTCTCTCTCTCTCTCTCTAAAAGCCTTTTTCTTTAGACACTTAGAGATAAAGGAGTTCTTGAAAACTATATACGAATTATTAAGCAAGAAGAAGATGATGGTTGAGAAAGAAGATTTGGGTTTGAGTTTAAGTTTGAGTTTTACTCAGAATTATCATTCTTTACAACTTAATCTTGTTCCTAATTCTTCTTCTTCTGGGTTTAATCCTCAAAAACCTTCGTGGAATGAGACTTTTCTTTCTTCAGGTATTTTAGATTTGATTGGCTTCCAGTTTTCGAACTACTCTCTCTATTTTTTCTTCCCTTTTTGTTTCACTTTCTCAAGAAACAAACACAGTGTAAAGGTTTTCCATCTACATGTAAAGAATTTTTCTTTCTTTTCAAACAACTTAAAATAAGCGTTCTTTTTCTCTTCCTTCCTTTTCATGTTAGATCCATCACTCTACTTTTAAAAATTTTTCTTCTTTATCAATCATTTTCAACTCCACTTTTGTTTCTTTAATTTTGTTTTCTTTTGTATTAATTTCAAGAACCGTTTCTCACCGATCTCTTCCTTGCAGATCCAAACTCTGATTCTTGCCGGGCCGACACAAGATCGTTCCTAAGAGGAATCGATGTGAACAGACTGCCATCGACGGCGGATTGTGAGGAGGAAGCCGGCGTCTCTTCCCCAAACAGCACGATATCAAGTGTAAGTGGAAAGAGAAGTGAAAGGGAAGGGAATGGAGACGAACGTGAAATGGAAAGAGATTGCTCTCGTGGAATCAGCGATGAAGAAGATGGTGATACCTCAAGAAAGAAGCTCAGGCTATCTAAAGATCAGTCTGCTATTCTTGAAGAAAGCTTCAAAGAGCATAACACTCTTAATCCAGTAAGTTTTTCTTTTTCTCTTTTTCCTTCTCTTTCTCTGATCTTATAAAAACTCGGTTTTTCATGTTTGGTTGCTTAGAAAATGGATAAAAACGGAGGTTTCTGCGTTTTCTTAGCGACCAAACAGTAAAACAGAGGGTTCTTATCTGGTAGGGGTATTTTGGTAATTGAAACTGACGAGTGTGTGTTTTTAATTTTTTACTATTTACAGAAGCAAAAGATGGCATTGGCTAAGCAGTTGGGGCTAAGACCGAGACAGGTGGAGGTGTGGTTTCAGAACAGAAGGGCAAGGTGAGATATTACTCTATCTTGTTGAGGGTAGTTTCGGTATTTGAAATTTGCTTCGTTACTTACGGGTTGAGCCGTAAAAATCTTCTTTTTTTTTTACAGGACTAAGTTGAAGCAGACAGAGGTTGACTGTGAGTTCTTGAAGAGATGCTGTGAGAATCTAACTGAAGAAAACAGACGGTTGCAAAAAGAAGTTCAGGAACTGAGAGCACTGAAACTTTCCCCACAATTCTACATGCAAATGACCCCACCCACAACTCTCACCATGTGCCCCTCATGTGAGCGTGTTGCGGTCCCACCATCTGCATCATCGACCGTTGATCCACGATCCCATCCGCAGATGGCCCACAATCACCATAGGCCCATTCCCATCAACCCATGGGCCCCAGCTGTTGGTCCCATCACACCAGGACCGTTCGATGCCCTCCGTCCTCGATCGTAATTATCGAACCCCAACTGAGGGTATTTTGGTCATTTGGAAAATGATATATATAAATACATATATACTAAAATGACCCTATCTTAGGAAAGGTAGTAGGAATGTGTACTATATATATTAAGGAGGGGGGGAAGCATGAAAGTACTGTAATAGCTTATCATGCATTTTTCTTGTGTTCAAAGTCCTAAGATATGGCTGTTGTAAGGTGATTTGGTGGGTCTTCATGTTTTGTATTATTGACCCATCAATCTCTTCATGAGGAAGTTAACATAAAATTAGTTTTTAATCTTTTTTTTAGTGCTAATTAACACTAATCCTTCTCCTCCTCCACTCAAAGATGGAAACTTTTGGGAATTTTGGGTAAGGAGAGGAAATTTGGATGTAAAAAAGTGCAATCTCTAATTAACTATTGTAACTAATTTAGTCAAGGAAAGTTGTGCTCTAAACTCTATTATTAATTAATTAGTTTATGATTGTTTGATAAATGTGAATCTCTCCCTTTGTTTCTATGTTTTATATTATACCTAGAAAGTGGGATTTTGTGGGGACAATTATTAGTAGGCTATGTTTAGGGTCTTATAAAGAAAAAAAAATAAGTGTTTAATTTGAAATTACTATATAAATAAGAAAACAGAATCCTAATTTTTTGGGTGGGTTTGAGAATTGCTATAATGATAATGATAACTATGTTTGACAAAATGATCCATTCCTTAATTTCTTGCTTTATGTTTCTTTGTCTACATAGTGGTTTTCAAGTATCCAAACCTCACTCACCACATTAAACCATGTGATAACGGTTATGTGTTTTAATAATGTAGCTGTTTAAGTAGCTTTTTATAAAATATTAAATAATAAACATTATATAAGTTACTTTTTATAAAACGCTATTTTAATTTTTAAAAATGAATTTAAATATTATATTATTAAACGCTATAAAAATAGCGTTTAAAATTTTACTGATCAAAACATTAAAAGTTATTCAACATTAATATAATCTTAAACCGGTAAACTCGTGGTCAAGAAGGAAGAAAAGACTTTTGAAACGACTTCTTGATGTTAGTCGGTGGAAATTTCCATATATTTTCCTTTTGGTTTTTGAAGCTATGGTGTTACTAGGTCAAATTAATTAGTTTCTCTATTGTGATAGATGGATGAATTGTTTTACACTTTAAAATTGGAGGTTCAAAATCAATCTTAAGACGACTTTAAAATAAAATTTTCCGCATAAATTTAATATTTGATTGTAGGTTCAAATTCAATTCTAAGATGACTTTTATAAAAAATTATTCTTTCGACTTAATAAGTCTGAGTAGTTAATCAAACTTGACTTTCTTTAAATCAATGATGTTAAATAGTTTCTTCCAAAGTTGATAATATTATAAAGGGAGTGGTTATTTATGAAATTTCCATGTAAAAAACAGTTGCTCAACCATATATAGATGCAATGATTTCTATACATTGTGGTAGAAATTTCATTGGAGTGACAATGAATTTGTGTTGACTAATTATTTATTTCTATTCATAGAGTCAATAATGATGATTAGGGACTTCCTTTTATAGTGGTGATAATTGGGAACAAATGCAACTTTTGGATTTGACTATCCTAAAAGAAGAGATAAGATTTGTTGGTTGTTGGAAGATTTTGCTTAATTTTAGGTTTTTAGAAATAGGATATTCTTAATGAGAAGAAACTCATGATTCATAAAAAAAAAAAAAAACCAAGATTAGATGTTTACTATCATTACTAACTATTTATTTATGTTGGAAATATTAAAATTTATTCCTAAACTCTTATTTATAAATCAAAAATTTTAAAAATAAAATAAAATAAAATAAAAGCATATCTAAACAAAACATTCTTATTATTTTTTCAATGAAAGAAAATTAATTATATAGGGATATTCATGGACTCTTTGAACTTAAAAAAAGGTCAAAATTTCTAAAAATGTGGCCGGCTCGATGTAATATATATATTTTTTTAAAACAAATTGAAGCATGCGGCTGAATAAATTTATGGAGTAAATTTCAATATTACAATCAAATTAATATTAAATTTAAGTTATTTTTTTTAAAGAAATAGCTTATCCTAAAAATTAAGTAAAGAATTAATTAATATATCTCATAAATGAACATAATATAAAAATCAATTGATTAATTTCTGAAAATTGGAAAAAAAAGGTATATATCCAATAAGTGAATTCAAAATAGTAGAGAATCAAATTTATAAATATGAGATGGTTGTTACCCACAAAATTATGGTATCAGAGTGACAAAAACCTAACTGATTGTGTAGTTAGAAAGACAAAAGTTGGACGATCTTCTTACTGTAGAAGGGTAGACAGACAAGATAAGAAATTTTAAAAGTTTGATAAAACACATACATCTCTTTCTAATTACACTCTTCTGTATAAGTAAACACATATATACATTTATGTCCACAATATTTAATGTTAGAAACGACATACTTATTTCTCTACAGTGGAGAAACAAAGGTGTTAATATAAAATAATTTAATAACTCAGATGTATATTATCTTTTTTTTTTTTTTTTTTTTTTTTATAAAGACACATACAGTCTCTTTCTAATTACAACTCTTCTGTATAGAGTAAACACATTATACATTTAGTGGTCCACAATATTTAATGTTAGAAAGACATACTTATTTGCTCTACAGGTGGAGGAAACAGGTGTTTAATATAAAAGTAAATTTAATAACTCAGAATGTGATATTATCTTTTTTTTTTTTTTTTTTTTTGTGTTTGGTTTTTTTTTTTTTTTTTTTTTTTTGGAAAGATGTATGGAATATGGACTTGGGCTTTGAAATGGGATTAGTGCATCATATGATATAAAATATAAAATACTCTTTCTATCCCATTTTCTATTTTATTTGCATGGTTTGACAAAACATGTATCTTAAGGATTTAGTCAATAAAATTTATTTTACCTTTCTTTATCCTTAATAACTCATTAAGATATTAAATGCTCTTCATTCAATGAATTATTATAAAGATTATTATGAAAAAAATAATTATTTATATGCCTAAATTAAAAATTTTATAAATATTTTAGAATATTTTAAAAAAAGAAATAGTAAGTAAATAAAATTTGACGGTGAGGTAAAAAATAGGATTTTACTTGATCTTTGCGACCTTTTCAGTGCGGTAACCACTACACAATGATGGGTCAGGCACAGAAACCCAGAGATGAAGTCGGGCTTTGATTTATTTGCCATTTGCATTTCTTTGACTCTTCTTTTTCACAGAACGCACCAGCTGGGAAAGCCCACCGACGCCAGAGAAATAATTGGCCCATTGACAATTCCAATTCATGGCCTTGCCAGGCTTTTTTTACTAGTGACAAAAGGAATGAGCTGCAGATAACTGAAAAAAAAAAAGGTTCTGCCTAAAGAATAACATTTCAGTCAATCATATACCCAGAAGACAAAAAAAAAAAAAAAAAAAAAAAAAAAGACAAAGAAAAAAAAAGAAAAAAAAAAAAAAAAAAAAAAAAAGAAAAAAGTTTCAGTCAATTAGCCTCCTTTCTTCTCTGCATACTGAATCCTGTGGACTTGGTGCAGTGTACTAATGGAATTTATAGTCATACGATACAGAGATTTAGATATTGGAATAAGCAACAGTTCCATCTAACTTGTTGATTTTTCTTCTGTCTGAAGACATATTTTCTTACAAAATGCTTTTCTTTTTCTTACCATTTAGGGTATCTTACCACCCATGTTTCACCAGTTCAATAAGAAGTTAAATTATCGATTTCACAACTGTGCACTTCAGTCGCTGGACTAAATTATTTTGGCTAAGAATTAAGATTAGAATGGTCACCTTTTATATACTCATTGCCATTTATACTTCATTTGATTCGCATAATGAAATGTAAAATTTTTGTTATTATAATATAAAATATTGACTTCACATCTTGAATATGTGATCACCGTGGTGGGTCCAGTAATCATTTAAACGGCTTTATGACAACTATTGTAGTGCTAGAAGTTCATTCCTCTTGTAATTTGGTTGGATTAGTTATAATGAAATATAAAATTATTGTTATTATAATAAAATGCTTTACATTTCATTACATCTAATGAAACGATAGCTTGAGATAGCATAGACGGAATATGACATTTAAGAAATAATACTACTACTAATAAAAAGACTATAGCATAAAGAAACCATTGTATAGCAAGCAAATTGTTGTGTACTGTGAAATTATCTCCTAACATTATTGACACCAATTTTTTAAAAAAAAAAAAAAACTATATCACCATTTAAATGAGAGAAATTAAGCAAACAAAAGTTTTCTAAAATGATTTTCACCTTGAAGAAGAAGAAGAAGAAGAAGCAGCAGCCTTTCTATTTATTTGTCCACTTGATCTCTTAATAGACTCTATCCTCTGCAGCCTTATTTGCTCTCTAAATTTTGCTATGAATTCATCAGCTTTCTTGTCCACATCAGGTCCTCCATCACTACCAACTTGTTCATTTTTCTTTGAATTTGTCAATCCGAAATCCCTTCCTGCAATTTCCTCTTCCTCTTCGTCTTCATATTCGGTTTCCATGTCATCATCCTCTGATTCCATCACTATTTTCTCCACATATTCTTCTTTTTCTTCTTTTGGGAACTCCTTGAAGCTTGGCTGTGCCATAAATGTCACTCTATCTCGACTCTGCTTTTCTTTCTTTGGTGGTGCTTCATCAAATAGCATTTGTCTACCTTCTCCAAATTTGCCTGTGAAACTTCGCTTCAAGTCTTTCTCTATAAAAACCTGATTAGAATTCTCTTTCATTGACTTCGATTTTCTAATCAGTGGTGGTGGTGGAGGCGGAGGAGGAGGTGACCTGTAAATGCTTTTCTTCCTGACAAAATCCTCTGCACCTTTTGCTTGTGTTTCAGTTGATATATGCGAAAACTTGTTTGGTGTGGCTCTGAAAGATTCTTCCATGGAAGGAGGCAGAGTATACAGCGGAGGATTATCAGTTTCTTCTCCGTCTTCTTTTCCTTTGATTTCCATTCTTCCAGATCTTGTTCTCCATGGAATTGGAGAAGGAAGCACTACGTTATCTTTCAATTTCTCTTCAAAATCTTGATAAGCTTTAACTGAATTAGTCGAAAATCTTTTAGAACCCAAATTTGAGGTAGACCTACTAATAGAAGCAGAAAAACCAGAAGAAGAAGAGGAATCTTTACCATTTTCGTCTCTATCTACATCTAAAACCCGCGATTTTAAGCTTCTAACAGGTAATAAAAGTGGTTTTTCTTTTTCACTAATTCTTGAATTAGTAGCAACTCTCTGTTTCTGCTCTTTATCAAGAACAGAGTGCTCTGTTTCTACAACAACAACGGGTTCATTCCTGCAATACTGATTATTCCATGTTTGGACAGTGCTGACTCCATCAGACCGGGAAGGAGTATCTGTTTCATCGTCAAAAACCGATGAAACTTGAAGGAATTTTGAAACATAGGATTGAGCATTGTCAAATTTTGTGTTAGAGTTGTTACTATTGCTGTCTTTTTCTGTTTCGTCATTTCTTCGGCTAAAAAGACCATAAGAGACGGCTATACCAACAAAAATGAGTTGGAGAAATTCCCATCCTCTAGTATTGAGGGTGTGGTTAATAAACTCAGGAGCTTGAGAAGGGAAAAGTGGAAGAATGACTAAAAAGATAGTGACTAAAAGAGCTTTGTAGAGGAAATGAGAATAGAACTTATTTGGGTTGTTATTAATTGTTTGGTATTTGGTGTAGTTGTAGTTTGTATCTGCCATTGAAGAAGAAAGAAGGTTTTTTGGGTTATTGTTTGTAGGTATTAAAGAGAATAAAAACAAGAGAAAGAAGAAGATGATGAAGAGAAGACTTAAGGATTAAGAAAAAGTGGAGAGAGAGAGTGAAGAGAAAAGTTTTGGGAAGGTGTGAGCAAATTTGAAGCTTTGCATAAGATTCAGCTTTGGAGGATGCTTTATTCTATGTCTCAAATCAAATTTTTATTTAGTGGATGATGGCATTTTGTTGAATGTTGACTCATAGTGTATGCCTTCGGTTCTTTAATTGGGAGTATTGTGGGGAATATATGTAATGTGGGGGGCAAATAGGTTGCGTGGATGGTGTTATAAGAGGATTCTTCTTTTGGAGTGAGTACGCTAGCTTTGTTTGTGGATGTCATAGAAAATACCCAAAATATATATCATATAGTATTGTTGAAGGGAATTGCTTTTCTTTATCCTTTCTCTTCACCAATCTTGAATACCTAAAATTTTGAAGATGATGTTTGATGCTCTTAAAGCCTACGCAGTGAGTCGGACAGATATACTTCATGCTGTAAAAGCATCCATTTAAAAAAAAAAAAAAAAATCAAGAGGAGAACAGAACATAAAGAAAGTCTCTCCTACTCATTTCTGCATCATCAAGGATGCAAGACTTTGACAATTCTTCTAATTTATCCATAAAGAAAGTTTCATGTTTGTCTTTATTTCTTTTTTAATTTTGGTATTTTCGAGTATCCTGCAGTCTTATAAGATATGAAACTCATTTCAGATATGAGACTGATCTTATTTTAGAATTTGTGGGTTTCTTTCTTTATAAGTGTTTTTTTATGGATTAAACTCCTGACTGTATAAAGATTATTCATTAAACTAACATGTATCTGACCACTATCTATGAATATAAATTTCTTATTTCTTTTTGATTCGTGAGATAAATTTCTATTTCTTAATTAATGTTAACGTATTTGCCCCTCTCTCTCATTTTTTTTCATTCTCATTTCATTAATTCACAATTTTCTCTTAATTTGCCTTTTTTTTAACTACTTTTATAGAAATATTATGTTTCTTAGTAAATAAAAATAAAAATTTTCATTATTAAAAATTAAATACAAATGCATAGAAAATTTGCTTAATTATAAACTTTTTTATCATTTATTAGATGAAAGCACTTATCTTTCTAAGAATTAAATTCCACAACTTGTTCCTTCCATTGAATAATCAATATATTAATTAATTATGGTATCTTTCTAATAAAAAATTGTGAGGAATGTCTCTTCCCCTCTTTATCTTCTTTTGTGTTTTATGCCCTAACTGGATTAGAAATAAATTAAGCATGATTAACATTTTCCTTTGCCCACAAACACAGAGAAAGAATTTCTCCACTTGAAAAACAAACATGGGTGATTCTTTTCCCAGGCAAATAGCATATATAAGTCTTATTTGGAATATTGGAATATTAGAAATGGTGGCAATATACATAGCTGATGGTTCTTAGAATATTCTATAAAGCCCTTCAAGCTATTTTTATTTTGTTATGGGAATAGCATCATGCAATAGTTTATTTTCTTTTGATATTAAAAATTTTGTAATAGGAGTATCTCTTTTTTTATGCAAATTTTTAACAAAATAAATAGAGATAAACAATTTATTATAATCGTTTTTATAGATTGATGGCTGATTATGCTAAGTAAATATTTATCTGTAAAAGAAATTTGACAAAATTTTAATTAAACCCATAAAATTTAAATCATAATATTATATTATTACATAAGTAACTAAGCATTTCATCATCAAAATTTTTCATACAAGAACTATCCATTGCCATACCTATAATTGAGTAACAAAACATCTATATTCTTATTTTTCTGAACACCAACCTTATTTTTTCTTTTTAAAAGTGACATGATTAATATTTATAATGGGAAGCTTAAGGAAGAAATAAGCAAAATGGAAATTAAGGTTGATAATTAAGTAATTAAGGTATCATTCTTTTTTTTACAAAATTGTGGCCGAAAGCTTATGTAGATAGGAAAGATAATCAGAAAATGGATCAGATTCCATGCTTTCAATGTTTTTAATTGCCAAGGAAGCATTTGGACTGCCCTACTTCTCATCCTAGCATCTCCTTATGAAAGGGCACTTATGTTGTTTGAAAAGTCTCCACATATTCAAAGAGAAATCTTTACTTAAGAACAAAATTTTTCTCTAAGTATAAAATAACAAAATGGAATTGTTCTTTCACATTCATGTCCTTAATTGAAAGGGGGAACCGGGGAAGAATAACAGTTGTTACAGAAAATGTTCCATGTTGAATAAATATAAAATATATTGAAGGCCTTGTATGATATTTCGAACTTACTAGATCCTGTCATGAAAATCCAAGTCTGGCCCGATATTAAAATCCAACCCGAATCAATTTGTTGGGCCTGGAAAATTTTGCAGGCTAAAATCTTTGGGATCCCAGGCCCGTGCACAGGTCCAATGACGAGTGCCACTTTCTCGGTGTTATCCCTTGCAACAATTTGTCATCGTGATGACTTCGGTCAGATCCGTTTGAGTTCGTGTCTGGTGACTCGGAATCGGACTCGTTTTTTTTTTTTTTTTTTTTTTTTTTTTTTTTTTTTTCTTGCAACAATTTGTCATCGTGATGACTTCGTGTAGATCGTTTGAGTTTCGTGTCTGGTGACTCGGAATCGGACTCGTTTTTTTTTTTTTTTTTTTTTTTTTTTTTTTTTTTTTCTTTTTGCCCTTTTCTTTTTTTTTTTTTTTTTTTTTTTTTTTTTTTTTTTTTTCTGCCCTTTTCTTCAACAGCCAAGGTCATTATTTCCAGGTATCGCCCGTTTCCCTTGTTTAGGATTCCATCAAACTATTCTTTTGTCCCCTTGAATCCAAAGCCCATAAATCATCATAAACCCATGTCCATCTCTTCTCTCTCTCGGTTTGTCTCGCTCTCAATCACGCCCCAAACCTCCAAATTCTCCATGTCACATTTCACCACTTCCTTGTCAGATGCACTCTACACTCACCTCCAAAAGAATCCTAACAACACTGAGAGAGCTCTGAATTCGATCAAACCTAAATTGGACTCCATTTGCGTCAATGAGGTATTGGACAAATGCTCCCTTGACAGCTACTTTCAAATTGGTCTTCGGTTTTTTATCTGGGCTGGTTACCAGTCAAATTACAGGCATAGTTCTTTTATGTATAGTAGAGCTTGTCAGTTGTTTAAGATTAAGCAAAACCCACAAGTCGTTTTGAATTTAATTGAGGCTTATAGGGCGGAGAAGTGTGTGGTTAGTGTTAAGACATTTAAGATCGTTTTGAATTTGTGTAAAGAGGGTAGGCTTGCTAATGAGGCATTGTTAGTGTTGAGGAAAATGCCAGAATTTGATCTACGTGCAGATACTAATGTTTATAACATTGTTATTAGGTTGTTTTGTGATAAGGGTAATATGGATATGGCTCAAAAATTGATGGAAGAGATGGGTTTGATTGATCTTTATCCAGATATGGTTACATATATATCAATGATTAAAGGGTTTAGTGATGTAGGCCGATTGGATGAGGCTAGTAGGTTGTTTAAATTAATGAGAGGACATGGTTGCTTGCCTAATGTAGTAGCATATTCGACCCTTCTTGATGGAATTCTTAGGTTTGGGACTGTGGAGAGGGCATTGGAGTTGTTAGAGGAGATGGAGAAGGATGGAGGGGATTGTAGTCCCAACCTTCTCACCTACACTTCTGTGATTCAGAATTTATGTGAGAAGGGTGGATCACTTGATGCATTTGCAATTTTGGATAGAATGGAGGCTTTTGGTTGTGCTCCAAATCGAGTTACAGTTAGTACTTTTATAAAAGGTCTTTGTATGGATGGTCATGTTGAGGAGGCCTATAAGTTAATTGATAGAGTTGTGGTGGGAGGTAGTGTTTCATATGGTGATTGCTGTAGTTCTCTTGTTGTGTGTTTAATACGAATTAAGAAAGTTGAGGAGGCAGAGAAGCTCTTTAGGAGGATTCTAGTTAGTGGAGCCAGACCTGATGGTCTGGCAAGTAGCTTTATGATTAGGGAGCTTTGTTTGGAGAACCGGGTGCTTGATGGGTATTGCTTATATGATGAGATTGAGAAGATAGGATGCTTGTCTAGCATTGATTCTGATATTTATTCTGTTCTTTTAGTTGGGCTTTGTCAACAAAGCCATTCAATGGAAGCTGCAAAGCTTGCGAGGTCAATGCTTGAAAAAGGAATTCGTCTAAAACCTCCTTATGTTAACAAAATAGCTGACCACCTGAAGAAATTTGGAGACATGGAGCTATTTACAAGATTGTCTAGTATTGGAAGGTAATGCTGAAAAAAAGACAACTTTATTTTCATTGGAGACCCTTGTATGGCATGTCAGAGCCGGATCTTCGATATATAATCATCGACTTTCTAGTGTAAAGGAATCTGTAAGATGAAGGGCATTACTTTTAGGAAACATCAATTGTACCCCTTATTTTTATTCATTCAAACTGTGGAACATGGGAAGTAACTTTGCAAATCACCAGTCCATGTTTGCTCAAGCGGATTCCAGAGTAGTTTAGTTCCAGAAGAAAAGGAGTCCTATTGTATGAGCCTTTTTTGTAACACAGTTCTCTCCCAGCAGGTATGTGTTTCTTGTTAGATACATTGGCTTTAGCTTAAACCCAAAGCACTAGACAGGAAAAAGCAAACTAACTTGAACTTTTCAAAAGTAGTATTTTCATTTTCATATTTTTGGGTGGGAGTGGGGGGCAAGTGCCTCTGTTGCTCCTGTTGTGGATCTGTCGTTGATTTGAACATTTTTTTCTATAGTGTATGGTAGCTTATTCTCTTTAGTGTTCCTTATGGAGCAGCATTATGCTCTTAAACTTGCTTGTTTCCTTCATATTCTTTCCTCTAACTTGTGGGGTAATAACTTCTCCATCAGTCAATGCGGCTGTTTATGATGGTGTTCTGCTGTAATGTCCATCCATCTATTTGGAGATATATAAACATTCATAGATCTTTAACTTATGTATTAGACCCCAGATGTTGGCTACATAAAGCGGAAGTTGCTCCATTTAATGAGATTTGCTATCTGCAATAGCTTGAAGAGTAAACCTTGTCTAAAATTTTTTGAATATTTAGTAGTGTTATTTTCCACAGTGGTAGTTCAATCACATAATAAATGGTATTGTCATTTGACTAAAGTGAACCTGTTTTTGTTTTCCAGATGAACTTTAGCCAGTTTGCTGAGATATAAGACTGTTTTTGCCTTCTTTACCTATAGTATGATTGAATGTCAAGTCTTCTCTCTGCTACAGTCCAGTGAGTAGCAGCTTGTAGCCATTTCTCATCTAGTTGCTAGGATCAAGTAAATATGAATCAGTTCTTGGGCAGCAGGAGTTCAACAATGGTTGGCCTTCTAGGTACATAATTGAACCATTGAGACTCCTTATGTACAACCGTGAACCATTTATGATTCATCATCAGCTTTGGATTTTATCATATGCTTAAAAAAGATGAGTGAAAGTTGGTGAACCAAAAATTCCTGTTGGAAAGCACAAAGTTGTTCAGAGAATTGTAGTTGGGGATGTGCAATTTGAATAAAAACAGTTTATATTTCTTGTTTTCATATATATTTCTCAGGCACAAATTAATACATTGTCTATCGTTTGGGCAGCAGGAGAAATTCCTTTTTTTTCCGCACATATCAATTTTGACTTGGTTTTCTGCTTAATAAATTGTTAGGTTTTATTCTGGTGAGTCTTATGAATCATTCAACCAATGCATTCAATGCCGAGTGAGACCTTTCTAATATGTGGGTTTAACGCTCAAAATTGACTTTGATATATAGAGAGACATTTTTAAATAATTTGGTCTTGTACAGTTTGATAATGAAATAGCATGCGGATTTGTCCTTTTAAATTATCCAATTTCCATGTCTTTTTTTTTTTTTTCCTTAAAAAGAAACAGCTTTAAACTTTGACATTTTTTTGACAATTTTTACCGTAGGACATAGCTTTACTAATGAGTGATAGTATCTTGAAGATCCATTACATGGTGACGTCTCCTTGGATGTTGTTCATGAGACTTTTGTGCCATTTTTCCCTTTGGTATTTCTTTGTTTCTTTAAATTTTTTTTTTTTTTTTTTTTTTTTTTTTAACCGTAGGACATAGCTTTTATGAGTGATAGTTCTTGAAGATCCATTACATGGTGACTCTCCTTGGATGTTGTTCATGAGCTTTTGTGCCAATTTTTCCCTTTGGTATTTCTTTGTTTCTTTAATTTTTTTTTTTTTTTTTTTTTTTGTACGGTTTTGGTGTGGGGGGGGGGGGGCGTCTAATTTTTTTTTTTTTTTTTTTTTTTGTACGGTTTGGTGCGTCTGTCATAATGTGTGTATTTTGTAACTACACAACGTGACTTCGTAAAAAAGGATGTGGTTCCCGGAGTTCTTTGGAGTTTAGACATCCATTACTTGTCCTTTCTGCTTTCTTGCTGCAGTTTCTATGCAATCTGGTAAATGTATTTTAGAACTCACACCAAGGCCCTCTATGATTTCCATATATAGGAGACTACAGAACTCGCTTGAGTTGAGTTTTCTTTTTAGTTATGACCCCAGAAGCTTATATATTGTGAGCTACAATCAGGCCAAAAGCTATGGTTTAAGAAGTCCCCGGTGAAGTCTTCTAGCAAAAATGGACTATATTATGTTTTGATAATGCAAATGATGAACAATAATTTGTTGCCTGGAAAGTCTCCATTGTATCCCTGATGATCAAACTTTACATGAACAGTCATCTTACGAGTATTTATCGGAAGGTACTGCTGAGAAGCTATCGCTATTGGAGTTCTCTTTTCCTTTGGAATATGGATAATGCGTATGGTCCTTGTTTTTTGGTTTTTCCTTAATGGATTCTTTCTAAATTCCTGGGAATCTCAATATCTATGAGCTTTGATTCTTTTGATTTTTCACGGGTGGAACTTTTAGGAAATACGCATAACAGACAGAACACGCGGAAAGTTTAAATTGCCCGCTTCTGGTTGTCTTTCTAAGAACAAAGGTCCTGGAGTTGGTTAATATCAAAGATGTGGTTCATACTTCACACAGACATATATTTCCTTGATTTTCTGTTCTTGATGTGAACTTGTCTCTGCGTATTACCTTAGTTTGCTGGATGAGATTCTTTGAGGATATTTCAATAATTGGTTAACGGAAAGTGAGTGCAGTAAACATATCCTCTCTATGTTTTCAGTAGCTACCCCGTTTTTGCTGCGACTTGGAATGGATTTTCTACTCGTATTCCAGGATGTGATGTGCACTGAATTACGTCCTTGAATGTCTGTCTACTTTTCTTTTTCTCTTTTGTTTTTTCTCTTTATTTGTGTTACAAACATATGATGAGGACCGTATTCTTTTAAATCATGTCGTATCTTTCCACTGTTGAGTTTGGATGAATTCATGAACTTGTTGCATTCATATGACAGGATTTGTGAAAGCAATTTGGCGAAAATCCTACTTACACCTCTAACTTACCTTAATTTAGAATTTTGTCTGGAAGAAACTTTTAACTGCCGAGAATGATTCTTCTTAACATTGCTAACCTAAAAAGATTTTGCCTTTTCCTTTCAATGCTTACATTAAGCTCTTTCTAGCATACTCAGGGCCTCTGTTAGAGCTTCTAGATTATCATACGCACACAGTTTTTCGTTACTGTATGTTGTTTATGCTATATGTGATAAAAAAACATGGTTGAAGTCATAATTATGCAATAGAGGATGTGTATTTTAACTTCTGGCCACCCCATTTTCTTGAAAATCATTAGAAGTTCCTGGTTGTGAAGGAATGGGCGGTTGCATTGTCGGCCATAACTCATAGTCTATTAGGTTGATTCCATTAGATGACTCATCTCTTGTGTTTTTATTTTGTTTTTGTCGATGAGACATTGAAGGGTGGAGTCATTTTAGAATAAGTTTAAGCACCCAACTGACTTTGCTGCAGCATATATACCCAGAATGACAGGAATGATAATTGTCTCTAAATTATAGTAAAGTTAATACCTAGGTGGCTACACTATGCTTCCATTTCAAACTAAGATCTCTAAATTGATGAACTTTTCACAATTAATTAATTCTTAAAATTTGAAGTCAGTTTTTTATATTTAAATTTCTGTTTATACGTAATGTGCTGCTTATATTAATTATTAATGCAATTTATTATTTATTTTAAATAATTCTTTGTAAACAGCTTGGAATTTGGATTGCTTTATAAAACTAACAGAAATACAAATAGTTGTTTCATATTTCAATGTTTTTTTCTCAAAATGAGAATTTTATCCTATTAATTTTATTTTATATAGATGTTTAATTTGTAAGTTATAGTATACCTACCACTACCAGTCAACATCTTATCACCGTTGAAAGTTTTTTGTTTAATAAAAAAGAAAGAAAAGCAACGAATTTTCATTTGAGTACTCTAAAAATGCAAAGGAAATATTTCCTCAATTTAAAATTGTTAATTACTTTTCTTTTTTAGGCTAAACGGTGTCTTATTTATTTACATAAAAATCACAAGTAATATAAAAAACAATTTTATTTTTCTCCGTTGATAAATGAATTTGCTTTCAATTATTAAGATTCACGTAAGTAATAATTTTCTTTATTTATTAATATTTTAATCTTGGCAAGAATGGTATGTTTTAGAAAGATGATATGTTTTTAATTTTCTTGAATCTTTTAAATCATTATTATTGAGATCACAAATCAATTAGATCATAAATCAAATTTATAACCTATAATTAGTTATATCATTAATCAATAAAAAAAAAAGTTTTCTTTGAAATTATAATTATTGTAAGTCTAAATCTTAATTGAATTTAATCTAAAAAATCAATAATTAAGTTTTAGGAATTTTTTACTAAAATCATGTCTTTCTACGATTGATAATTTTCAAAATTAAATACAAAATTTTTCGAAGGGAATTTTATTTTGTTCATAAAATTAATAGATAAAAGAAAATGAATCATAAAAACTAAAAAGTGAAAGAAACAAATTAATAATAAAAGAATTTGTTTCAATGGCAATCCTATAAATAAAAAAGTATAAGTGACGAAATCCAATGGCGAATCTTGAACGTCGGCAATGCCCACGCCACGTCCAACTACCCCACAACTTTTACCTTAAATTCCATAGTAACCCTCAGCACGTGTCGTTCACTGACCCCATTTCTCATCTTACTTTCAACACCTTCATGTAACTTTATCGATCCTCTAAAATTTCCTTGCCAACTCTATCTGTTTCAAAGTTAGTTTAGCCAAATCAAATTGTTAAAGGGTAGAACTCAGGCAATCCCTCAAACTGCAAATCCTAGGGTTTGGGTTTCCATAACTTCTCTCCGAAAAATCATACCCGAGAAATCATACAATTGCCGATCTCTTCTTATCATCTTCGGCCATTTCACCGTCCGATTAACCCTCTGTTTCCCACACTCGTATGATGGTGATTTCTTCTCGAAATCACAATTCAATCTTGTCGAAGACAGTTTCTTGTTTGCCATCGCCCTTTCTGAAAGTTCCATGCTTTGTCTGCTTGATTTTAGGGGTTTCTGTTGTTCACTAATGTGAAAGATTTCATTTTTTTCTTATCTCAATAGTTTGTGTAAATTCATACACTTGTACATATCTCTCTACACTTGATTCTTTTAATTAAGGTTTTTGGGTGAGGGATTTGGGGGGGGGGGGGGTACCACTTGATTCTTTTATTAGGTTTTTGGTGTGAGGATTTGGGGGGGGGGGGAGGGAGGGTGTTTGATCTTTTCTGTTTTGACTTTTAGGACTTATGATTATCAGGAAGTGAAGGGGGTTAGTTGAGTGGAGAGAGGGAAGAGGAGAGAAATCGGGGGGGGGGGGGGGAGGGTGTTGTGATTTTTCTGTTTTGACTCTTTAGGGATTATGATTATCGAGGAAGTGAAGGGTGGTTGTGAGGTGGAGAGAGGGGAAGAGGAGAAATCGTGCGCTGCAATTGATAATAGCAGCAACTGTGTAGTTGTTATTGGGTGGGATGCAAAGAGGGCTTTGATTGGAGCAGGGGCTCGGGCCTTGTTTTATCCGACTTTATTCTATAATCTTGTTAGGAACAAGATTCAGGCTGAGTTCCGCTGGTGGGATAGGATCGATGAGGTATAATTTTTCTATTTGTTACTCCTCTCTATTGTGCTGGTATTTTGTATATAATTTGCATGTTTAGAAGATAATATGGATTTAATTTCATTTTTGACATTCAATTTTGTGATTCTGCGTTGTTTAGACTCACGATATTTATTTCTTATTCTCATTTGGGGTTATTTTTGATTTGTGGAGTTTCACTTCTCTTTTGGCTAATGAATGCATCCGGAAAGGCATATCCATCCTACCCGAATATCAAGCGCAATTGCAAATTTCAGTGAATATTATGTTTATGTAATATTTCTTGATTGTGGGATTTTCGATTAAGTGCAAAGCTGAGTGCCAGGCCCTTTGTTTTGTACTGGCAAATTGGACCTTGCTTATCTTCTGGTCCACTCTATGATGTCAAGGACCAAGAAACTTTATACTTGTGAATTGCTCATAGGTTTTAACTCTGTTGATGGGAGCCTCTCCAATCCAAAAACTTCTATGATTGGAGTCAGAAGTTTGCTACAGAGGATTAAGGTTTACAGCGGGAAAAAAAAAAACATGCTGTTGGACTTTCCTTCCAAGTGAAGGAAAATTTTCTTTACCAACTATCCAATTCTTGTTTCTATTTTTATGGTAATCATTTTTCTTCCCTGTGCATGATTGGTTTCCACTTATCTAGGAATATGACTGAAATAGAAAACTATACTTCTTATATTTTTTTAGCTCAAGATTGAGGGAATCATCTGAAACTTTTGTGCCATATTTGATCTATATATAATTTATACGAAACCACCCTTTGAATTTAGGTGGTCAAACTTCTTACTAATTCCATTTCATCATACTTGTGCAGTTTATATTGTTAGGCGCCGTTCCTTTCCCTACAGATGTTCCATGCCTCAAGGAGCTCGGTGTTCGTGGGGTGATCACATTGAATGAGCCATATGAGACCTTGGTTCCAACATCTCTATATCACGTGTGTGCCTTTTTAGTTTAAATCGCATACAACCTGTGGCTTTTATCAATCAAATTCTAGGCTCTTCAAGAATATTCAATATTTCTGTTTTCAAAATTACTTTTGTATAATTTTTTGTTTAATACCCTAGCAGATCAACAATAAGGTCCTCTGTTGGTTCACTTTATTTTGACAATTTTTTCAAAAAATTGTTATTTTTTATTGATTTATTGAAATATGGTAGGCTCACAACATTGACCATCTAGTCATACCTACAAGAGATTACTGCTTTGCACCATCCTTCAGCGATATTTGCCTTGCTGTGGATTTCATTCGTGGTAAGCTTCTTTCACTTATTATATGTTATGCTAAGGAAGAGTATGAAAAAAGTGATATGGAGTAAAATGTATGCTTACATATGGTGTTCTAATACTTCTTATCGTTTTGTGTGTAGAGAACGAATTGCAAGGATGGACTACATATGTCCATTGTAAGGCTGGTCGGGGGCGGAGCACAACCATTGTTATTTGTTACCTGGTAAGTACTCAAACTTACTTGCATTCTTCCACTCTCTAAGCAATTCTTAATTTTTTATAATATTTTCTTCTTGTATTCAGGTGCAACACAAGCATATGACACCTGATGCTGCATATGATTATGTGAGATCAATCAGGCCTAGGGTGCTTCTAGCATCTGCTCAATGGCAGGTATCATACTGGAAATGTTTGATCCCATGTGGTCAATCATTCATAGAAATCTAGTGTTCAGAAATCCAGGAATCTCAGTGCCCTTAATGCGTGTTTAAAATCAGTTATAAATTACTAGGCATGTAATGTTATCGAACGCCATTTGCAAAAAGATAGGTTCGGTTGAGAACTGCTTTTAGACTTCATCTTTGAGACTTAAATCAGTTTCCTAATAAAGGATAGGCAAAAGATGTTCAATAATCAGTTTACGTTTATCATGTGTATCGATGTTGTTACATATTAATTAAAAGATGCTATCTATTGGTTGTAATTGCAGGCTGTGCAGGAGTACTATAATCTGAAGGTGAGAAGCTGTGCCTCCATTAACAGAACTGATCTCGTCCTGAGAACTCCAAGGCCAGCACATTCACAGGATGCTGTGGCTTTTGATGATGGTTCCGTAGTTCTTGTTACAGAAGAAGATCTTGATGGTTATGATCCAAATCTTGAATCAGGGGCTGTGAGAAGAGAAATATGGGCTGATTTAAGTGTGGTCTATCGAGTTCGGGTTGCTGGTGAGGCTGCTTTGGCAAGAATCTCCTGTATGTGGTTAAGCTGCCAGCCACACCAAAAGATTTTGGGAAAGCAACTGAGTACCAAGAACAGCCACTCAATGAGCGCCAATCATTTGGGAGGTATTAGTGTAGAAATCCATGTCTATTAAGAGGCTGCAGAAGTTGCATATAAGTTGTTCAGACAAGTTTCTTTCCTCTTCAAACCGTACATAAATGAAAAATAATGTTTAATAGTGCCAAAACTCGGTTTTCACTACCCATTGTAAATTGAGTTCTCTATGTTGAATCATAAGTGTAAGAAACGACGACAGCCCATCTAATATTTGGTGCTTTCATAAGTACTTTGTTTCGCACTTCAATGTATGAACTTTACCTTTCTGCCAATTCACACAGGAGTACGAGAGTTCCTTTACTTTTATCCCAATTGGTGAGATTGAAAGACACGAGTTAATTCTAATAATAGTTGTGCTAACATAATCGAAATTATCGACTGGCATTGATGAAAATATTAGGATAAATGTCGAGGTTTTTAACAATTTAAACTACATATATGGCTTCCTGGAATATTCCCATAAACACCGCTTCAAATGCAACTTTTCTCATAGAGTTTAATTCTATTTGCATAATAACCAACACCTGATAGCCATTAGTGTTCCTAAACAAAAAAGAACTTTTGGATTACTATACGCATAGATGATTCTCATCAAGTGTAACTTAAGTTCCAATTTAGAAGCTAATCAGAATCTTTTTCCTCTGCCAGTCCAACGAGTTCCTTGAAAAAATCTTTGACTGATGAGGGCCACTTACAGGATGATGATCCATGAAGTATTGTTTCAGCTGATGTTATGTTATCAAATCCAGCCACATCTTTTTCTCTCTGATTGGTTGGGGCTATTCTACTGCGATCCACCAAAAAAGGCACAACATGCTTCTTCATATCACTTCTGGAAATTCCCAGATGACCTCCTGACACATTTACAAAATGAACTCTTCCAGCTTCATTCAAGGCCTTGAGACCAATCCAATCCTCAGTATAAAGCTTTGTCTGCACCCATAAATTGATTCTATTTTCTTTAGATTCCATATGATCACTTATACTTCATTTTTAAGAAGAAATATATGTTGACAATTTTACTTCAGTTGACATTTACTGAAAATGAAGGTTCATTTTATGCATACCTGTTCTGCAGGCAAAATTGTCTCGAAAGATCCATCCGCATAATAACCAAACCAAGCTGTCTCCTTGGGTATCAAAACTTTGTCATTCTCAAACTGTTCAAAATTCAAGAAAGAAAAACATCAATGTATCTCAAAATAACAAATTTCTTACTACAATTTGGAAAAACAAAATATCTTTCTCACCATGATAAGTACCAAATTCTGCAAGCTTGTGAGTCTTTCCTTGTAAATTGAGTTTCTCTCACCTGGTAGTTCATTATTTAGCTTGGGAAGAAACTTGCATTTTTTCAAGTAGTTAGGGATATCCTAAAAAATTGAGAAATAATTATCATTTATTGTTAGCTAGTAAAGATAATATCACAAGAATGGGTATGCTTATGTGAATTTCCTGTATTGATCTTTCTGAAGGATAAAAACTTAAAGTGAGACCTTCATGACTATTTTGAATTAAGTTCATGAAATAAAGATAGTGAAGCTACAGATTTTTAGCATGCGTTTCATGATTACGTAGCACTCGATTCAAAAACCTCAATGCAACATTTTTTTTTCTTGTAGGGTAAAGCACTCACATTAGGAAATTTAAGATAGCCAGCGGGAGCCAGGTGATCCTGCAGTTCACATTTGTCAAACCTTTTCAGAGATATCACAACAAAATGTTTGACATTATTAATGGAAGAGGAAAATTGCTCATCGCTATCAGTTTTTTTAAATGTTTGCATCCAAAATACATTGGCATTATGGTGTTAAACAATTACAGAAAGCTAAGAGACAGACATGTACCTGAACATAATCACTATAGATCTCTGACTTAAGTAGGTTGTTTGCAATTATGCATAAAATACCAGTCTGCAAATGAGAACTAATTTGAGAATATCATAACAATTACAATAGTATAAACAAAAACTTATGCGACTAAAGTTTGTTATAAAATTTTAAACGAATGCCAATATACTTACATTTAGCAATTTTTCATGGGGGGCTGTTCTCAAGACTTGAACCTGCACGTTGTGGTTGCAAGTTGAAGAGTGTGATTGGCCCCCCATTGGTTATGAAACTTCCATGCAAAGTGAATGCATCACATTTAGAATAATACATCCATGATGTAGTGTCCAATGCTTTCCTAATGCCTACAATCATCAGTTGCAAATTCTACATTTTACTTGACAAATGTCCTTTAATTTTCAGTGGCACAAAGGGATGCCCCATTAACAAGCTTTTAATATAGCAGAAGTTAAAGGATCCTTTTGAAGTTTTCCAACATAGAAGAACCTTTAAAGAACTCTCAGGTAAATTTCTGAGCTCTTAGAAGGAAAATATCCCAAGCAATTTTCTCCATTAACCCTGTTTTAAACATTTCCAAGCTTCTATAAAGATTGGGCAGATGAAGCATGGCTGCAAGATAGGTTGTGATAGTACTTACGCCACAAAGAGGAACAGAAGCAGTACCAGCATGAGGTCCTGCTAAGGAAATGAAATTCTTAACCTGTTTCAATGATTAAAAAAGGAAATTATTTATTGTCCTTGATCCATAAAAGCTTGCAAAATATGTTTGGAATTTTGTGCCTCATATGCAGATACCGCACCAAAATGAAGAATACCTCAAAAGCTTTGGAAACCAATTGAACACACACTCTATGAAATAATGAAGGAAAGAAAATACACTTCCAAGATAAATGAGAGAATAAAGTTCATATAGAGCTGGTTCTTACAGGAGGTCCACCATCACAAAACTCTATCACACCTCGAGCAATCAAGTTGCCCTGGTAAACCAGAAGAGAAGTAAAAAAAGAATCAAAGCCATTAAGCAAATTGCTAAAGAATTAAATTCAATAAAAGGATACCAATTTCCTATACCCAACAAAAAAGTCTCTCAATCCATCGCATGAAACATAATGAATATAGATTAGAGTGAAGTCCTTTTTATTTTTTTATTTCTGCTTACATATTATGTAATGCAATCAACATATCCTTCCAAGTTTGGGGGATATTGCACCTCAACATAAATGTGCAAAAGCCACTCAAACAGGTAGCTTAAGTGTGATACAAGCTGCTGATGGTAAAACCATCTGAAATGTGTATAAGAATATCTGACATGTTCAGGAACTTATACTGAGTGTTCAATATGGAAATATTAATATGAAGATGAGAAAGGGGAAGTCATTAAGGAGAGTCCAACCAAAAGAAATTTTGGTATAAAATAAATTTATCATACAGTTGCTAGAGAATGTCATACATACATTGAATAGGATACAAGGAAAGATATAACTCAGATTCGACCAGAAATGAGTAGAACGATAATGATTACTTCATTTGTTATAATAGCAAATTGTAAAGTGGGATGGATTCTTCAATACCAGTCAATATTGTATACACTACACATGTTAATTATCAGAATTCCATTAGCAACGTGATGCTCACTGTTGCTTGTGAATTACTATGACAGAAATGCCTTATGAACAAAGTTGCATAACCAGATGCATTGAAAGTGCTAATATAATCTCTGAAGACATCTTTTAACTAAGTGTATAAATTAAAAAATAATAAGAAGCATGATTCAAAGTAGATATAAGCATTATCAAAATAGTAAAAATACACAATCATGAGAGTTAACCTGGGAAAGACCAACTATGTTGTAACCCTCTCTCAATTCTTTCATTTCCTTCACCTGCATTATAGTGGGCATATCAATGGGGAAAAAAAATAAAATTCAAGACTAGCACTAGATAAATGACCACAATTACCCAGAGAACTTTCTAACCTTGTCACAAACAAGTCCCATCTGCAAACAAACAATATGATCATAAGAGGAAATGGTGTATTTTGTTTAAAATTATGGAACGTTATTATTATTTCTAATACTTCTACCTGTTTCTGGAGAGGAAGAAACCAGGAATTCCATAGTCCATCCCCAACTTCTCTGCACAAAGCAAAAGGAGTGATGCAATGCCACCATTTAAAAGAATATTAAAAGGGAAAATTCATTCACATTTGTCTTCATAATGGTCAAGACTCGAGACAAGGAAAGTTATTTAAAAAGTAGAATCACTCGAAATGCTCAGCGGTTATGGTTAAGAAAAGTTGATTAGCAAATGGTGGAAAATTTCACACAATAAATTTCCTCAAAAAAGTGATGAAGTGCTCAAAATTAATCTACTAAACCCATTACATATGATGCATAGATAACAAGCAACAATCTTAGCCCGTGGCAAAGACATGGGGTGATTAGAATACAAACTTATGAACCTAAATATCATACAGGCAATATCCTGGAGAACCAGAAAAGTTTGTCAATAGATCAGTGAACTGTTTTACTCCTCTATTTTTGCATTGGTCTCCAATACCTACGATAAGAAGAAGAATGGAATAAAAGAAATGGTTTGAAAACACATAAGTATATAAAAGCAATAAAAATATAAATGCAGCTAAGGTCTCCATTGGTCTTGCATAGGATTTAATAAAGGACCCTGGGCAAATCTTCTTAAAATAGGAAAAGTAAATAAAAAAATCATTATGTTTCATTATATTGTCCATTACTGGGACTATAAAATAAAAGATGTGCAATAGCTGCAAGTCTGCAAGCACTCTTCTGCTATATTACAATCTTCCTCCTAATCTGCAGCTTATAGAGGATACCCACAAAACTCACACTTGCATTATCCACAAAACAGATTAATTTTGAAGGATAAAAAAAAGAGATTTTATAATCAAACCATAATCTTTCATTGTTTACTATCAAAAAAAAAAAAAAAAAAAAAATGGTGGAAAAATTTTCACAAACATTGAATTTTCCTCAAAAAAGTCGATGACAGTGGCCTACAAGAATTCCACATTCTACTAAACTCACCATAACTAGGATGCACTCAGACTACACAAGCAAACAATTCTTAGCCCGTTGGCAACAGACATTGGGGTGATTTAGAAATTACAATTGTGATTTGAGACCAAAATATCATGCAGGCAATTTCACTGTGGAAGAACCACCCAGAAAAGTTTAGGTCATACGCTATCAGTGAACTGTTTACTCCTCATATTTTGCTATTTGGATCTCCAATTACTAGCGATAAGAAGAAGAGAATGGAATAAAAAGAAATGGTTTTGGAAAACAATAAGTATATAAAGCAATAAAAATACTAAAATGCAGCTAAGGTCTCCTATTAAGGGTCTCCTGCATTAGGATTTTAATAAAGGACCCTTTGGGCAAATCTTCGTTTAAATTATATGAGGAAATGTAAATAAATAAAACATTATGTTTCATTTTTTATTATTGTCCTTTATTATTTGGGTACTATTTTAAAATTATAATAAGATGTGCTCAACTATGAGCTGACAAGTCTGCAAGCACTCCTTTCTGCTTATAATTAACAATCTTCCTCCTAATTGCAAGCGTATCAATATTAGAGGATACCCCACCCAAAACCTCATCCACTTCGCATCCTATCCACAACAACAGCATTTTAAATTTTGCCAAGCGCACATCAGAACACCCTAAATATGAGAATTTTTAAAGTCTAACACATAATTCTTTCATTGTTACTATTCAAAAAAAAAAAAAAAATAAAATAATTAAAATCTTTCCTTGGCCCTACATCTCAACTATTTACACAAGTTCGTAGTAGGCATCAGTAACTGTAAGAACACCCACAAATCCCCAACTATAAATATTTGGTTTCGTTTTTATAGTTCTACTAAGTAGGTTTACCACAAAAAAACGCACTGGTTTAATTGCATTATATCTCAGAAACCCACAGATCCTAAAAAAAAAAAAAAAAAAATAATAATAATAATAATCTTTCATTGTTTAACATTAATATTACACAAGTTCGTGCATCAGTAACTTGTTAGAACACCCAATTTCCCAATATAATTGGTTCGTTTAAGTAATAGTAGTCCAAAAAGCACTAGTATTTGCATAATCAGAACCCACAATCCTCAACAAGCAGTATCTAACATGAACTCTCATAAACAGTAATAGCTGAAATCAAGAACCCAGAAACAAAAGTATCGAAGATCAACAACAGATCACTAAAAAAAATTCTAACTATCGATTAATGAAATTGTATACGTATAAAAAGAAAAAATCTAAAAGGTAGGAAGATACTTGCCATGGAGAACTATAAAGGGTATAGAACTTGCAAATGAGACTAAAAAGAAGGCCACAACAATCAAGGAAATGGCAATAGATGGAGAGCGGAGGGCCATGAATGATTATATAACTTTTTTTTCTATAAGAAAGGAGGCTGAAACTATGGTCTGTGGGTATTAACCTAGTCAGTTCCAAGAACTTTTGAAAGTAGAAGACGCCATAGATTGGTGGAGAAGACGCGGTATATATATACACCGAAACAATAACTTAATGAATGAATTAAAGAAGCAGCAGGTAAGGCATTTAATGAAGAAAAAAATCTGGATCAGTCTATCAGGCTGACAAATTTTGTTGCTTTTCCTTCTTGAAATCGCCAAATAGATACATCACTTCAACACAATTGAATGTCGTATGTGGTGTGGTTAGAAATTTCGTTTAATGATTGATTTGTCGATATTTGATAAGTTCACGCCTTTAGTACTGGTCTGAATCTGAACTCTCAACTGCGGGTTATGAGGATCATGGGCCTTTGGGTCATGGGTTTTATTTGGTTAGCAAACAACTAACGAGTAACTGCCAACTACTTTATTTGAAAATTGGAATGTGAACACAAATTCTTAAAAAAAAAAAAAAAAAAAAAAAGAAAGAAAGAGAACTTTAAAAAAAAAAAAAAAAAAAAAAAGGAAAGAAAGAGAACAGAACAGAGTTTTTATTGGAACCCAATACTCTTATGAATTTTATATTTCCTTTTAATATTTGAAAAAAGCTAGATCCTATGAAGTTTACCTTGAAAAAATTGTTTTCTTACAAAATTAGGTAATATAAATGTCAATTTATATTTCTCATACATCCTCAATTTTTCTAACTAAAATTAGGACAACATATTTGGGCAACAACGACCTGTCGTTCAATCGCTGGCTGAAACATCCCAGAGTTGGCTCCACTCGCCAAATTCAGTAATTCAGCATGCCACATTTCAGTCAAAAAGAACAAACAATCGTCACATCAGGTTCTTGAGCATTCACAGTACAGCTTCATTTTTTCATTTTCACATTTTCAGGGCTATCATCATCTGTGCAACCCAATTTTGAGTCTGCTCCTCTCAAAGACTTAGAATTAACGACTGAATCCATCTTCCATAAGAGAGGACAAAGAAAATAAACAGCACAGAACAAGAATAGAACAAATCCATAGTTTGATGTATCAAATTAAGTACTATTGCTTGAAAACCGGAATTTCTAGGCTTGTAATTTTTTAAATTGTGACTCTGAAATTTTTACTTAAACATGATATTTCATATTTTCTCCACTTCTGGCAAAAAGATTTCCGTCAAACGGCTTATGTGGTGAAGTGTAACATCAGATATGTGGCAAGTTTGCTTATAATCCTCTTTAGCATCTTCAACTCTGGTGCTAGTGAGCCAAGCTCTGCCTTAAACTTTGCTGCTATTGCATCTACCTCTAGCTGGAGCTTCACAGTCTCTTCTTCTAGCTCTGCAAGAGCTGTTTTCTGCTGCCATTCCGAACCATGTATCCTTAAACTACGAGAAACGGTGGAAGTATTAATAGTTAGAGATGATATCTCATAAGAAAAAATTAAAAAATTCATTTTTAGAGACAGTACAGCTATAAATTGTGAGTTAACAGCTATTAGGTCAGTAGAATAAGCATCGACTATTTGCCTCTTCTTGCAAAAATGAAGGATCAAACCCTCTAATTATTTTTCCATAGCCACCATAAAACAGATAAACGAAAATTAAAAGGAAACACAGTAGAATGAATTTGGGGCATACTGGAAGGAGAACACAATCAAAATGAGCTAGATATAGGCATTCAGCACAAAAGTGGACCCCAAGATCAGGAATTCCTTCGAGTGTCACAAGAATCGCAGTAATACTCACCAGAATCATCTTCAACAAATGATTCCATTCCACAAGTTAAGGGATTGAATAAATATGTATAAATTAGATTCCTGCAGTATAAAATTAATACAACAAATCTATCACTGTTCGATGAATTTGATGAACAAGTGTACAACACATTGTACGAAGCAAACTCAAAGACAAGTACCATGCTGAATTTGTTTATTAGTTTGCAGAAATTAGATTATTCTTTTTTTTTGGTTCATGAAATCAATCAGTTATTTGACGGAAACGAGAGACAGTTTCTGCTTATTAACAAAACCGGTCTAATTTCAACGATCTGTCATTTACGTCAAACAATCGCCGGCCTCTTTTCCACCATAATTTCCGCCGTATGAAGCGAACTATGCCACCAGCGAGCCAACAATTTATTATTTTGAGAATTTTAGTTATTGTTTGTTGATGTTTGGGCAGGAATTGAAGGATTTCGCTCTGATACAACAGGAGCTATGGATCGAAGAGGTCAGAGATGTGGAGAAATAATCTTCTTCCTTCTGGTACAAAGGGTAAGTACTAGGAAACTTTCCATCCGACCCAAATGTTTTTTCATGTGCAAAATACAAGTTGAGGGAGAAAGCAACCGAATATGAGACCAGCGCATAACGCTGCCGTCATAGATTCTTTAATTCGAGTCAGCTATATAAATTTCATTTTATTTTCAATTTCCAGTCTAATCAAATTAAGATAATGCAAAGCAATGTATAAATTTTGCTGAATATTTTTAAATATATAAGTTAAACCTTTCAAGCAATTTTATTCTCAGTTAAAAGCATAACTATTCAAATAAAAAGATTAAAAAAAAAAAAAAAAAAAAACTAATTCAATAAAAGATTAAAAAAAAAAAAAAAAAAGAAGAAAAGAAGAACCAAGTTAACAAATGTGCTGATTAAAAATTTTTCTACTAGTTTTAGGTTTAACTTGGTCATCGAAAAAATTAAAAAAAAAAAAAAAAAGAAGAAAGAAAGAAACAAGTTAACAAATGTGCTGATTAAAAATTTTTCTACTAGTTTAGGTTTAACTTGGTCATCGACAGTGTATCTGTCAACCATTCCCTGTTTTCTTGAATTTTACAGTGTCCTCTAACCCCAAGAACAAGAAGACTCTCATCATCTATCTGCGTATTCTGCTTCTTTGAATGATAGATCTTTATGCCTACAAGCACCATTGCTGCCAAAATACATAACAAAATCTGCAACAACTGGCCATAGATATCACCTAAAATCGACTTCTTGATTGAAAAACCTGCACAAGTTAAAGAGTTGACTAGAAAAATCAAAATTGACTAATTCCACGAAAGTAAAATAATGGAGTTGTACGGTTGCAAGTTTGACTCCTAGTAGAACTGAAGTGCATTGAAAGAAAAGAATATTATTCATGAAAATTTACCTTTATAATCATCTCCAGGCAAGCTCCAAGTTAATCCAAGGCCAAAACTATTATCAGCAAGAAAAGGTGAGTATGCAAATGGAACGGCGACAGTTTTAACTACCCTGCAAGAAACCGGCACAGAAAAAGAGGAATCTACAGTATAAACATGATGTTTCGACCCACTTAAGCATGGAATCTCTACAAAAGAAGGTGAGAGCGTTGTTGAACAATTAAGGTATGTGTAGTCCTTGACAAGATAGTAATATCTGAATGGTGTTTGAGAAAGGTTGAGATTGAGAAAGACTTGATGAACACAATTCTTCGGATCAAAAAGATCGATTTTTTTAATGTCATAGGAAATGGATTTCACACCCAAATCTCCATAACATGGAAAATAAATCATGGTGGTGTTTTCTTTGCAAGAAAGTTCAAAAGCTGGGTGATTATTGCAGTGCTGGGGGTGCTGATTTGATATCCAGAAAGGAAAATGAATATCAGGAGCAGAGTCGCTGCAGTTGACTTGAAAAGAATCTATGCTTAGAAATATGGAAGAGAAGAAGAGAATATAGAAGACTGAAGTATTCATTTCTTGCAAAACCAGAGATTCTAGGCTAAGCAGTAGTTGGTTACTTCTATTAATACATTCTTTCTACATTATATATAGAATAGCTAACATGGAAAAGTGTGTATTTTCTCACAAATACTTTCTACCGAAAATTAAAAAGGAAAAATGCTTACAGGCTAAATTAATTGTTTATTTATTTTCTCTCCTGTGACTTATTCTGACTTGACGTTTACTACTAGGTAACTTCTGAGACAAACAAAGAACATAGAAGCCCTCTTATGTAATATAAAAAAAATGGAAAGAGACACAAAATGAATTGACTGGAATAGTTCAAAGTGTGTGATATGACCCAAATTGTTGGCTTAGTTCAATTTTTTCTTTTTTGCCCTCACCAATTTGCTTATAAAGAATGGGATTGTTTACTTATCATAATGAAGTCATTAAGTAATGGGTTTCTTGCAAGACAATAAAATTTTGTAGGTCATCAAGCATGGTCTTTGGGTTGGAAATTTGAGTTGGAGAGATTAGAAAGAAACAAAAAAGTGTTGTTATCCACTTGTTTTGTGGATGAAAAGAATGCAATATTCCAAGGTTTGGATTAGAATATTAAAAATTCTTTTGCAGATGGAAGTTCATGTGGCCTTCCTTGCCTTGACTCTTCTCACCCACCCTCAGACTTGCAAGATTGACTTAGGTAAACGAGAGGTTATTTGATATCAGACTTCAATGATAGTAAATTCGACATTAAATGTCAAAAAATCACATAATATAACCAGAAATCCAAGAATGAACAATTTAGGTGTCATTAGGGATCTCCAACGAACTGAATAAGAACTGATATGCTATCCACACAGAAGATTCTTTCTTTGAATTTGATCGTATCTACCAACAAGACAAAACGTATAAACATTATGAGTTGTATATTATATTAATACAGGACCAAGCTCGAGTAAAATCAATCGCAGGCATCAGAGATGTCTTGGGCAAGCTCACTGTACTATGGAACAAATGCTAAAGTATTCGATTAATTAGACCATGGTACATTGAAGGTCAGACACTAACAATACAAACGACAAAGAGACCCCACACCGAAAGAATAGGAATTACAGGAAAATTCTACAAGAGTTCTCTTGCCAGCCTTAATGGTTTTTCTTTTAAAAATGCAACATCACCATTGGGTGTAGTCAGTGGATGATGATCTGAATCCTCTTCTTCGCTCTCTGCTGATGCGGATGATAAAATAGATCCCAACCCATCATCATCTGTATTGATATATACATACCATTGAGGTAAGAAACTAGTACAATGTTGGATAATTTAGGTCCGGATTCGATTCTGTTGTGAGAACTTTAATTAATTGATAAAAGAATATATTATCAAACTTCTTTTGGTAAGAATTAAATTTAAACATGCAGGCTTCATGCATCTTCTTGAACAAGAACAAGATAAAAAACGAAATTTGGCAAAGATCTGAACCAATGAGTCTCAGAAACAAGATTAATAGAACAAACTTACCGGAACAGGCTGGATGATCAGGGAGATGTCTAACTGCTGTTATCTGAATGCTTTCTGGCAGTAAACAATTACAGAAAGAACCTGAAACTTGAAAAAAAAAAAAAAAAAAAAAAAAAAAAAAAAGTAAACAATTACAGAAAGAACTGAACTTGAAAAAAAAAAAAAAAAAAAAAAAAAAAAAAACCAAAGAAAAAAGAAGCTCCTTGATCTGAGAAAGAAGCCCATTAAATGCGGACGCACAAAACTCAAAGAACTACAGGCAGCTACTGCTGCAACACGCGAAAAAAAAAAAAAAAAAAAAAAAAAAAAAAAACCAAAAGAAAAAAAGAAGCTCCTTGATCAGAGAAAGAAGCCCATTAAATGCGGACCACAAAACTCAAAGAACTACAGCAGCTATGCTGCAACAGCATTCAACACCATCATATGATCAAAGCCATAATATTCTGCACTATTTACAGGCATGACATTCTTCAAACCTGAGATCGCAAGAATATAAAAAGCAATGAAGAAATGAAGCAGATATTGATACAGTCCTTGGACAAGCAAACATGGATCGGGGACCAAAATCTATTATACAATGAGAAACATTTAAATATGTAAATGTAATAGCCACTTCTACTGATTTAGGCCAACAATAGTTTCTTTTGTGATAACATAAACATGTCACTCACCAACTCGGGCCAACCGATTTACCCATCCAGGAATAGGCTTTCCAGTTAGTTGCAGACAAACTTCATCAGTAAAGTGGTTGCAATTCTTTGCAATCAAATGATAAGTATCCCCATGATATTTTGCAGAAAGATGTTCCATGAATGATCGAACTTCTGAACGCGACAAGTTGATGCTGCCTAGTAACACTGACCGTCGGAAGATGAAGCCTGGACAACTTTTTGGTTCCACCTCAAATACCCCGCTGCTAGAGTATTCATGGGCTCCAAAGCCAAACTCCATACCATGTACTGATTATGAATAGGAACACACTATGTTAATGCACCAGAAATGGTACGAAAAAGAATAGCTGAAGCAAATAAAGATGTACAATGAGTAATTTATAATGACAGGTAAAGAAAGAATTCAAAGGAAGAATTCAAGACCAATTTTATTTTTTACAGATCAACCTCCTACAGGAGCATTTCATAAATGGCTATTAGCACCACCAGCTATATATTTATGTACACAGGTAGTGGCATTAATGATTTCACATAGAGATGTTGTTGTCAACCAAATATATTCAGAATCCTGGATAAATTGTTTAAATAATATATGACAGAAGAATCACACTTCATAACTTAAAAATCATCTGTAAGCTCATTACAGCATGGATTACCATTGTCTTGCTGTCTCAGGTTAGAAGTGAGAATGACTCTCATGAATTTGTTGAACATCAAGCATTTGCTCATGTATCTATGCAAAACCATTTGCTCTTTCCATACTGTCATAAATATAAATTAGCTTGATCATTCTATTTCTTTCTAATTCCATTTCTCCAACTCACAAATCTCGCAGCAGTTAAATAAAATGTGGCCAATAGAGAATCAACTATTCTTTGTGTTTGCTCCTGCTTCCAATTCAGCACTCTCACATCAATTATCTTCTCTCTGTTTCCTTTAAAATTCATTTACAAGGGGGAAAAAACTTGTAAATAAACGCAGGGTAATAGGATTAAAGGGAAGGTTCACTCAACAGTTTTCTAGCAAGTGGTTAGTGAGTAGTATAAATAGGTGCATTCTGAATTTCCATGGAATTTTGGTCCTCTAGATCCCTTTTCTTTTTTTTCCAGCCCTCTTCATGGATTTAAGAACTCACTATTTTCTTTTCTCATTTGTATAATGGACACATTCCATGCAGTACACAAACCCATTGACTTCCTGGAAATTTCACTGCTCATCCTTTGATAGGAGCATAATCAGACAAGCACATCTACTGCATATTCAAAAGCTTATCGATTCAAAACATTGTTTTGTCTATCATTACCACAGCAATGCCCCAAGGTCAGATATTTTGCGAAGTATCAAAGCACCATCCAATTATATTTCCAAGAAGTTCTCCACTCTCACTTCAACATAATCACAATATATACTTCTCATGCTGAACCATACTAATTTCATGCAAGAGGAATTGATTTACTTCTGATGCTGAACCATATTAATGTCATGCAAGAAGAGTTGATTATCTCACGCTCAAATTAGCAATTCAATAGTCATAAAGTAAACTGTTCACAATCAAAAAAATAGATATAAAGAGAATTCACTCTCTACTCAACCTTTGAACAACTAAAACAACCATATCATTTCATGTAACTAATTTTACAGTAAATGACCAATTTATGGTCCCAACTAAGAAAATCAAAGTAAATAGAAACAGAATTATTTAAAATTAAGCAGGAAACAAAAGAATTGTAGAATCAATGCCGCAAAACATACAAAATATAAACAGTTGTACGTATTACCTTCAATGCCAGAATGGAAGATCCCAAGGCCAAACCAGTAAAGGTAGTTATTTACAGGCGTAAGGTCATACACGTTTAGATACAACATAGCCCGATTGCTCGCTCCAATTCCCCGCTCCTTATCAGAGCCTGAACTCGAACTTGAGCTCGAGTTCAACGGAAACAACCGCATTGTTCCCTAATCAACAGTACTTCAATTCCGCTCAGAATTTCACCATCTTCAACGCCAAAAGCCAATAGAAGATGCTAAAATTAAAAATTACATGTCAAAAGCTAAATGATTAGATAAAAATGATTCTGTCATTCGTGCTCTTACATTTTTGTGCATTTTCACCGGAACCAAAAGAGGAATATAACAGAAAATTGAACTTACCAACAAAGCGAGTGAGAGTAAGAGAATTCACAAATGATCGGAGCCAGAAACCCTATCAACTGATGCACTATAAAGAAGTAATTTGAAAAAAAATTAAAAACAAAATAAACAAAATTGTGTGAAATATGGACTCGAAGAAAGAAACTTACAAGAGAATTTCGTTTTGTTTTTCAAAATTTCAAGTAATTTGAAACTGAAGTCTCGGATCGGTTAGTGAAGAAGAGGTAATTGAAGCACTTTTTGGGTGATGATGTTAGGAAGTGGAAAGAGGAATGACAAAGCTTGAGGAGTTGTTTATTAAATAATATTAAATACATAAATGATTAATTCATTTTAATTTATCATAAAATTGATTTTAATATTTCTATCTAAGGTTAATTATAATTTCAATTCATTTAACAATAACATTCCTTAACAATATCCTGTTTGGCGCGATTTCTTTTTATGTTTTTTTATACGAGAGTCTTAGATGAAGGACTAAACCTTAAAACAGGGAAATGGGAAGATGATTGCTCTATGTTTCTTTTATCAAGATGCAGTTTTTCAAATAAATATTCAAAAATAATTTCTAATTATTTAAAAATTCCAAACCTCACACCAATGAAAAGACCAAATAATCTATCCAATTAAATATAATAATCACCAAACTATGAATATAATCAATTTTATGATAGGAAGACAAAAAAAAAATGATGGAATATAAACAATTTGACCTCTGAATTTTATGATTTATAAATTTTATATTCCATTAACCTAAATAATTATATTATTAGGGACTGAAGATGTGTCCTTAAATTTAATGGAAGATAAAATTTATTTTCAATTAACATAAAATTAATATATATATTAATTAAAATAATTTTTTAAAATAAAAATAAATTTAATCATCGTTCATTCGAAATATAATATGAGAAAGGGAAAAAATTAGTTGTTTAATCATGATTATTTACTAATTGAAGAATGGTTTGAATGTTAATCCAAAAACAGTCAATATAAATCAAATTCTAATTCAACTGAATACTAAATTGAATTTATTACCACTAAAAGGATATTTTAGTAAAGTGTTACTGATAGTAATAACTTTTAACCACTAGTATATTTTTTAGTAAAATGGATATTTATTAAAGAAAGGAGAGGGTAAATGATAATTATTATTATGAGTATCATTTTTTGGATAAATTTTGTTGACAGTTAAATTATTACATGTGGCCGACATTCCTGATTACGGGGTGTTTGGGTCCGAGAGAAAAAGTATCTACATGTGAAACCAAAAACAAGATAAGCGTATCTGTAAGTGGAATAATACGTGCCTTATAAGGTGGTTATTGTTCAATAAAAGCATTCACCCTTCGACGTGACAGTGACAAATGAATTAGCATTAGCATTAGTTCTCATCTTATTAAATATAATTATTTTATTAATTTTACGTTGTCTCTCTTCCAAAATCAAAATGCAAATTGGCAATATATATATATATAATTAGAAGTCATTACAATTTTTTTTTTTAAGAAGCATTTGGAGGATTTTTTTTTTTTTTTTTAATAAGAAAAGCTTAGAAGCATTGCAAAATAGACTTAGAAGGGAGGTGAGTAAATTTTTTTTTAAAAAAAAAAAATTAAAGTAGAAAATGCATGTGAACTCAATAAGTAGTGACAAGAATATAAGGTTCTTTTTTCTAATATACACATTTGCATACTACCAGATGTTCATCAACAGAAAAAGCGACATGTGAATCTGCAACATAAAATCAACGACACCCATAAATTCATAATAAACAAAAATAGTATAGACTAGATTTTACAATAACATGTATTAAATCAGAAACCTGCAATTCTTAATTAAACAAGAATTGTAATCATCCTTAATAATTTAAAAAGAAGATATGGAGAGATAAAGAGCTTTGCTAAATGGCACAAATTGTATCTAGTACAATCCGTACATATTTACAATTATACCTTAGTGTGATATTAGCAATATTTAAAATTTTAAAATGTTTTAAAAAGTTTTTTGAAGGCATTATAGTATTTTCATTCTTGTTAGACCTGACCATACACAGATTATGCCAAAATTATTTTCCGATTATATACATATATATATATATATATATATACACTCACACCACAAATTCTATCATAAGAAAAATAATTTGCAACCTACTGGGCAATGGGACCCTATGCTTGATTGGCATGAGCATGTCACACACGCCATTGTCTATCTTAGACATGATGCACTGGAAAGAGAATGGATATATTAGCTAATTATGAAGGCCTGCCTAAGCTATCAGTTTTCTTTTTGACCAACCATCAACAGCCAATAGCCAATTGTCAAATTTATCTTTAATAGAAAAGAAAAAAAACAAAAGAATACACCAATAAGCTTTGAGTTTGAGATAGAAATTAGATAATCTCAATATTTTTTGATCAAATTCCGTCAGAATTTAAACATGTCAGATAGTTCATCTGATCATATTCTTGTAGACTAAAACTTTATTTCTACATCAGTGACAGTCTAACAGAAAGCAAATGCTATTTATCAGAGTCACACATTTGCAATAGCTACATTTTTCTCTTCATCAGAGAGTTGAGAATATTTACAGACACAAGGCATATTTGAAATCACATGTACTTATCTCCAGCCAGTTCTCCAGAAGTAACAAGAATGAAAACAAGAAGCAGAATTATATGTTGCAATATTTACTCTTAGTTAATTGTTATTCAATGAGCTTGATCTTTGTTTGTCATCCTCGAACACACCAAGTGGAAATAATTAAGAGATGCATTTCACAAGGAAAGAGGCAAGGGAAGGTAATGACATAGTAGGAATATTTCGTCTATTAAGGAGGTTTCCCCGTGGGAGTTGCGGTGCTGTACTGCTTGGATGGCACCATCAACTGGCTCTGCAGTTAATATTTTCAATGTCAATAACATTATAATACAGGCAAGATAGCCTACCATCAAATTTGGAGACCAATTTATGAGCAGATAATCCGCAATAACTTTTCCCCAGCCGAGCTATGCATATGTCTATGATTTTCTTGAACATACTGTCTCCTTGAATTAACGGCTGCTCTACAAACTCAATTAATGGCATCCACTGCAAGATGGAAACACAATACTGGGTTGAAAAGATCACGATTAAAAAGATCGCTATGAGATTAAAAAACGTTGATGATTGAGTCCTCATATCAGAGATAGAATGAATTTTGGCCCCATTTTTAGACTATAGTCTAATATTCCTTAAGAAAAGCGAAAAGTTGATGTTTATGCTATAATTTTCAAGGTTCCATTATTTCAATCGAACATTCTTTCATTTTGTCACCACAAAAGTGGCTGAAAACAAACACAGACCAAATGGGAGACTTGCAAGAATAATTTCAGTTCAAAGTCATTGTGATGCAAAAGTATTATGCAACTACATATATGGACAAATTTGTGAGGCAAATTAGTCACCTTGGCCGCTTGAATTTCATGATCATCAAGAATGATCTGAGTTGATAAGGGTTTCAACATGCAGACAAAGAACAAATCTGACTTATCAAAAGCCAAGTTGTGAGCATGCCTGAAATCATAATAGCCGAAGATATTAGATATGATGCGAAGGAAATGTAAATACTGTCAGTAAGTGGGAAAAAATCATGCAAAAGTCAGAAAATCCCTTTTGTTAGAAAACTTTTTCTGATCTTAAAATATAAGCAGCATTTATATTCACATGATGCAACCATTTTTTCGTATCTCCAATTATTTTTTGATAGTCGTTGCTATTACCTGAATGCTACAACTTCTATGAACTCACTATCAATCTGCAGTATACAACACAAGGCAGCTAATTAGCATCTACAACAAAGAATTGACTAAAAAATAATTATTTTTGTTATGAGTAACACCTAAAATGCAACTATTTTGAATTTTAGAGAAATATATGAAGGTATTCTTACACCAGTTTCCTCCTTAACTTCTCTCACTGCTCCTGAGTAAATCTCCTCTGACTGATACAAGAAATAAAACAAAATAAATTATTAATGTTTTCCTTTCCTTCTAATTTCAATTCCTAATTTCATTGCCAATTCTAAAGTCTTTTATTACCTCATGGATGAAACCGGTCGGTATTTTCCAGAGACCGACAAAGGATGGAGCACAGAATTTCTCTTGTACTACAAGAACCTGCAAATGGGAATCAGAAAAAAAAAAAAAGAAAAGAATTTGCATAAGCATAAAAATGTACAGGTTGATATAAAAAATTAGGGAATGTAATGTATAACTTATAAGTTGTTGAAAGAAAGGAGAAGTTGAACTGGGAAAATAAATTTGAAGTACATAAAATTACAGCCATCAATCATAATATAATCTTTACTCTCCCAAGAAGTTTAAAATTTCAATTTCAACAATTAAACCAGTCTATTCTAGAGTAATCATTGTGTAAAAAATTGCTTATGTAAGGAAAAAAAAGAACTAAAAGAAAAGTGCAGATACTCAGGAATAAAGGCATTTAATAAGGAATCCTGTTAGGATTCAGGTGCTTGTTATTATCAAAACAGAATCAGACAACTAGTGACTTGGGAATCAAGAATTTTGGTCATTGTACTTCAAATTCCATATAGTAGATTACCTACTCTAATATAAGAATTAAAAGAAAGAATAACTGCAATGCATGAACTGCAGATCATGGCTAGGCCAAAAGAAAACCAAAGTACACTTAATTAAAATATTTTCTTCTTATCTTTGATTTAAAAAAAATTACCTCATTTTTGTCATTGATGACAAATCCTCCCACTCCTACTTGATGGGTAGCATTAGTGGGAAGCATGCAAGGTCCTTCAGGAAGCCAGTAAGTCAACATTACATATCCTGGTTCTGCATGGTGATATTGGAAACCTTCCTGTAAATATCAAATTACTCGTCTTAGGGAGATACACATATAAATTATTATTACAAAGGAAAGAAGTAAACTATCAGACATCATAAACTCTGGAGTCATTTTTGGAGAATCGTGTATAATCAAGCCCAAGAAAGCTAAAATGTAAACTGTCTTCTACTGTCAGTTAAGTGAAACTAAATGATTCGGTATGCTAAAGAGTACGTTAAGTCTAAAAAGTCACCTTTACTGCAATGGGAACAAGCTCTGATCGTTCCAATGGCAACTTCAGCCAAATTCCCTTCTTTCCCTGCAGTTAGGTTACATAACAGTGTTACATCATGAAAAGTTACAAGTTCTTTGAAGATTCCACTCTACCTTGTCATTCTATTCCAATAAATGTTTATAAATAAATGAATCCAGAGGAAAAGGGAAACATTTAAATCAAGCCCATAACTACATTACATATTTCAAGGTTCTGCAATATTTGAGACCACGTGAAATACTGCAAGAATGCAATCATGCAAAGATGAAAAGTTGAAGGCTTGAACCAGATACATAGGCAAATCTGTAGTACTAAATCGAGTCAGGTTACAATCAACTCTAGACCCTTCTATTCTCATTTCAGAAACATTTAATACATCCAAACATTTAAAGAAAAAAGTGATATATCAAAAAAGTTTCGGAACATGATTCCGTTACGGTCCATCAAATGCATATTCAACCAAATTGATGATAGTATCTAGCTTAGTTATAATTCTTATTGCTAACAAATAAAGAATTGGCTCTAACTGTGGTTTAAACTGTAAACCCCATATAGCTTTGCAAATGTATCTAGTACCACTGAGCCAAAGCTCATCGGTGATATATCATTTCTGTTCTAACCATTTTCAAGAAAATTTCATAGCCAATTTAATACTTCTCCATTTTGGGTATGGACAAGCACATGGGGGTGGGGCACGGTGGAAAGAAGTTATAACAAGAAGATCACTTCAATTCGAATTCTCCCAAGTCTCAGCATATCATAGAGCAATTATACTGCACAAATTACTGGTTCTAAAATAGAAAAAGAACTCACCATTATTTTCCAATGAGAAAGGGAAAAATGAAGAGAAGAAGCAAAATCATCTGAATTCTTCGGTAATCTAGTTGAATCAACAACAACTCCACCATACTCATCATCAAATGCATCAAGCAATCTCTTATTTCCAGAAAACAAACTTGAATTAGCACCATTTGCTCCATTAATCCGATACAAATGATTCTCTGCTGCAATTTTTTCTTCGTTAGCTGACTTATTAGCCTTCTTTGACAAGTAAGTACCATTTGAAGTACTTGAACAAGACACCTTTAGCGACATCCCTAAACATAAGAAGAAAGAAAAACCATTAAACAAAAAGTTTCAGTATCTTGCCCTACAGGCCTATGATTAGAAGGACCAGAAACAGAGTATATTAAATTATTAGTGAAATCAACAAATTAAGTACTAATAAAAAAAAAAAAACAGACCAAAAACAGTAAAGAAAAGCAGAAAACTCAGAGAGAAACATAAAACCAGAACAAAACAAAGCATTTCCAGTAAAAAATGAATGAATGTTCTGCTTGATTGCCAAGAAAATGTGGGAACATAAACAAGAAAATAGAACCTAACAAAGCCACCAATGATTCAAGAACAGAAATAATTAATTACCTCTGCAAGAACCGAACTCCGGAGAAAATCTAACAGCAGCCACATGCCTTGGACTCAAAAAAGGGCAAGAATAAGTCTTTTCCAGCAGAGCTATCTCAGATAAAGACACAGATTTAGAGCCAAGCAATTTCAACTCCATTAATGGACTGGACTACTCAAAATCCCAACTAACTTAATTAACACTACTCACAACAACCCAACTCAAGCCGAGTCATGAGCAATCAAATACTTGGTTTTTGTACCACCCAGTTGGACAAAGATTAATTTTTTTACATTCACCAATTAAAAATCATGATACCAGCAAGAAAATGCTATAGAATTCATCGTCATTTGGAGTCTGTTCAAGTGACAAAAATCTTAGTTTTGCAATGAAGAGGGTACAGATACACAATGAACAAAAATTAGAATAACTTAACTTCGCGACAAGTAATACGAAGATATGGTCCAATTTACTCTGATGTATTGAGCCAAAAGCCAAAGTTAAATTAAATTAGTGGGAATTTTTCGTTAATGTGTGGTGCGAAATGGGTAGAGCTTGAAAATGACAAACAACGCAGAAAATAGTCATGCTATAAAAAGATATTCAATCTATTCTTGGCTATGTAAAACGAGGGAAATCTCGTGTTATATTTATATTATTACGGTATAGATAAAGAGTTGCAGTGTGTAGTGAGAGTACAGAGATCGCTTTGAAGGAGGTCTATGGACACACGTCTTTGAAAAATAGGAGATGTTCACAGCACGCGCCTTTAAAGGGAGTGGAGATGACTAAGAAAGGGACTATATATATATTTTTTTTTTAAACTAACAAAGGACTGTTTATTTCATTGTATTTTCTTGGTGGGTTTAGGACATGGATTAGACAGAATATTCCTTTCAATAAGAATATGATATGATTTGCTGATTGTCCCGATAGTGTAAGACAAGTGGAAAAAGATTACTTTGAATAAGGATATACTTAAGTGAATTTGTTTTTCTTTTTTAAATAAATGTATTACAATTCAATAATCATATTTGAATCAATACAAATGTTCTCATAGAGTTCTTCGACATTATAAAAAAATTATGAAAATTGAATATTATTCAATGTGACTAAATCTTTGTATATTATGATATGATATAAAATATAATTTGTACCTGCTTTAAATCATTCTCTCAACTAATAGAATATTAAATAAAAAAGACTAAAAAGCATAATAGATGTTGATGAATAACCACATGAAGAAAGCAATATTATCCTAATTTTTTTATTACTCATAGGTATCCCTAATTTATTGGATTAGTATTAAATTCTATTCGTATCGGATCGGTTCATTAACAGAAAAAATGACCCTAATGAATATTTTTCTTTTATATATAATGATTAAATTCTCAAACTCACTTAAATTATAGCTTTTCAAAACATTTCTCCGTGAATTGAGGACCACTTACGCTATTGAAAATACTATATATAAAGATTAGGTAGAGTTTCAAATCAAGTGCATTCTTTCAACTGTTTGAAAGGAACGTTATTGTCATCATCACTTTCAGGTCACGATTAATGTAAGAAAGAGTGGAGATGATACAGCAGCAACACTAATGTGCTAATGTGTTGGAAGGAAACTTGCATTAACTAAATAAATTATATAATTATGTAATCACGTGGATCGCATTTGTTGCCTTCGTGCTAGATGAGTAACAACAACACCAACAGAAAAAATTATATATGGGGAAAAGATGTTTTTCTAGTGGTGTTTTCTGTTGTGCTAGAGCACGAAAAAATGATTTAGACATGAGAGGTAAACTTTCAGCTTAAAAAAAAAGAAAAACAAGGGAAATAATGTGGCTACAAAAACTTTAAAAATTTTGAAAATAGTTTTATTTTATTTAATATATATGACAAATACTTTTATACTAGGATTAATAAATAAACTAAGCTTATGGCTACTTTGTTATTTATAGGCTCTGTTCGGCAAATATCGTTTGAGGGAGAGTTTAGAATTTTGACTGTTTTAAGCTATTATTTTTATAAATTATATCGTTTGTTAAAATAGTATATAAAATAGTTGTTAGTGGATAAGATAACATTTGTTAAAACATTAATTCATCTAACATTTAGCATTTCCATTTTTTTTATTAAAACTTTTTTGACAATTATGTACTTAATTAACTTATATTATCCTTATTATTAATTAACTTATATTAATATTAATTTAAAGTCTTTTGTTACGGTATTGCAAGTCTGCAATTAAACAAAATAATTTAATGATGAATTAATAGAGAAATATGTAAGGAAATTGTATTATCATTTTAAAAATGATAACGATTTCAATTTATATAATTAGACTATATACTATGAATTGATATTTTTTTTTATAATGAGTTCACTACTGTAGTCATAAGTTAAAATTATAACTCAATATTTAAATGTCTCTTTTTGTTATTTTAAATTCAACAGCTAATCAAATAATTATTTTTACTGAATACTTTTATTTTAAATGTCTCTTTTTGTTATTTTAAATTCAACAGCTAATCAAATAATTATTTTTACTGAATACTTTTATTTTAAATGTCTCTTTTTGTTATTTTAAATTCAACAGCTAATCAAATAATTATTTTTACTGAAAAATGTCTCTTTTGTTAATTTTAAATTCACAGCTAAATCAAAATAATTCATTTTTACTTGAAATACTTTATTTTACAGCTAATCAAATAATTATTTTTACTGAATACTTTTATTTTAAATGTCTCTTTTTGTTATTTTAAATTCAACAGCTAATCAAATAATTATTTTTACTGAACACTTTTACTCTAGACAATTAACAGCTATTAAAATAGCTAACACCTATTAAAATAGTTTACAGCTACTAAAACAGCTAGTATTGACGAACATGCCCATATTGCTCAGTAAAGTAACGTTTACACTAATGTCTAGAGTTTAAAAAAGCAGATTATAATTACTCTCTTTACGTTTGATGAAATGTTGGTAAAACAATTAACAGTTACTATAACAGCTAACAACTAATATATACTATACTTCAATTCAAATTTAAAGACAAATTTTACAAATTGTAGCTTGACTTGTTTACAATTTATAATTTTTTTAAAAAAATTCCCTTCATCCCATTTTATTTGCATGGTTTGACAAAACATGCATATAAAAAACTTAGTCAACAAAAGTTATGTTTCTCTTTTTTAGACTAAACTTATTAAGATATTAACAAAATTCATCGTTTAATCAACAATCATAAAGGTTATCATATATGAAAAATAATTGCTTACTTGTGTAAATTTAGAAACCTTGCAAACATTTTGGAACATCCAAAAGAAAAATAACAAGCAAAAAAAAAAGAATGGAGGAAATACTATTTACATGTTGGAACTCAAATTCGATACTAACTCATTAAATTTATCAAATCATCTTGAACAAACTATTTACGAGTGAATTTATAATCCTACTCCATATACTGAATTCATAAAATAATTTTTAATTTTTGTGTAAAATGTATTTCTGGTATTTGGCAATAATAATATCAAACGGCCCTTTAAAAAAAAATATCAAACCGACATTTAATATATCGCAATTTATATCATCATCGTAAAATTTTCACCATAATCAAAAGAATTAACAAATACATATTAACTTTGTTTAACTTTTTTTTTAAAAAAACTTTGATGATACATTTGAAAATTTAATTTAGTATTAATCATTTTATTTCAAATTTTATCCTTATTTAGATATTTCCATTAAAATTTCTCTTAAATATAAAAATTAATTAAAAAAATAATTTAATTAATTATTTCTAGTTTTTATAGAACTGAATGGTTGAATTTTTAATTGTATAAAAAGTCGAAAAGTGGTAAAATTAACGGAACGGATGTAATGAAAGTTTTAATTGTTTTTCCATTATTGATAGTTTTTTTTTTTTTTTTTTTTTTTTTTTTTTTTTTTTTTTAAGTTTTAATTGTTTTTTTCCAATTAGTTGATTAGTTTTTTTTTTTTTTTTTTTTTTTTTTTTTTTTTTTTTTTTTTTTTTTTTTTTTTTTTGAGCGTGCAAAGTAGTCCAATGCATGAGCGTGAGAAAGATCCCCCATTTTATTTTATCTTTCATACATGGAAACGCGTGGACAGCATTACAGCACGTGACTAAGAGACATGATGCATTATGTTATGTGGCTTTGAGCGCTTTCAGAGAAATACTGTTGTGCCCAAAGATACACGTGAGATCGTCGAGTTGCCCCTTTGTTTTTTAAAATATTTTTTAAATAACTCATTTTCTTATTATTTGGTTATAATATGAAAAAACATTAAGTAGTAAAATTTTATTTATAAGACGATAAATATGTCAAAATGAGAATTTGATTAAAGAAATTGCAAATATATAAAAATGATATTTTTTTAATTTGATTATATATTAATGTTTGATTATATATATTATAATAATATATATATTTTTTTTTTTTCTCTGGAAACAAAACGTTTTGGAAAAATGTTATTCTGTTGGATTCAAAGAAAATGAAAAGAGGGAAAAGTTGCAATTACGATATAAGAAAAGTGAACTATTCTATTTATTGAAGAAAATTAACGAAAATGGGCAAAAATCAAAACGAATTTTTTTTTTTTTCTTGGAACAACGTTTGGAACAATGTTATTCTGTGGATCAAAGAAAATGAAAAGAGGGAAAGTTGCAATAGATATAAGAAAATGAACTACTTCTATTATTGAAGAAATTACGAAATGGGCAAAATCAAGAGTTCTTATTGACAGTGAAGCACTTGAGCACTGAGCATATAACCATAGAATAAAGAAAAGAGGGAAATTAAGTTGCAACAGAATTAATTAAGCACCATTTGGTTCATAAATTCTGCAATCAAATCATAACTAATCAGACTGTGTAATGAGGGTTCACATCAATATCTAAACCCTTCAGCCTTGCAAAGGATTCCACTTTGCCTTTCAGAGTATGAAGCTCTCTTAATCTGCATAATATCCCAAAAACAAAAATTATATTTTCTTTTAGAGATGACAGGAATTATTAGACATTGTGTGATTGATGAAAATAGTACAAACCTTGCAAGTTCTGCTCGTCTTCTTGCTTCTTCAGCCATTACACTAATGTCTCCAAAAGTATGTTTTTCAGTAATCCCCTTCGCTTCTGTAGATTGCAGACCATGAAGTGTTCGCTGCTCGGCTGCCCAGGCTGCTTCTCTAGCTTCTTTACCAAAGTCCTTTTGTGTGGTCATTGCTGTCTGAGAAAAATAAACCAATGCCAAATGCTCAAAACCCAATTTACATACAGTGAATTTGAAGCTGCTTTCATTTTTCAAAAGTCTGAGACATTGTAAAATGCAAACTAAATTTGATTTTTGCTTACTCTTTGGTTATAAACTAGGCCCCAAGCTCTACCGCTCAATGCATATCTGACAGCAAACTTAATAGGATCAAGTAGCATGTAAGTTGCAATGTTGTATAGCCATACAACACCAGTCCATTTCCAGCCAATCTTACGAATTCCAGCAAAACCCCATGTTGCTTCTGCAGTTATTACAGTTGCAACCTGTATACAACTTATTAGGATTAAAACTAAGTGGTAATAAACCTAACAGTGAATAGAAATGAGCAAGTATTTACCAATTGAGCAATAAAGAAAGCAATAACAAGAAGAAGACCAGGCCTTTCCGTGAATGACCAACTTCTTGAACGGGTAACGAATATTAGAGCCTGACTTATAGTGCTGACTTGAAGGTAAATAGCTGATGCTAGCTGTTCATTCAGTTCCTTTGAGACTTGTTCATCTGAAATATTGTAATTTTTCTTCTGGAGGCTATGCACATGGAAATGTTTCTGCGATAGTCAGGAAAAAAAATATTTAGTTGTTTTGACATTTCTCTGCATTTCTAGCTTAGAGAAGCATAGCTAGGGGCTTTTACCGTAAAGAAATCGGTTTCATAAGCTCCCCAGAAGAACACAACAGTCATTATTGCTAAGTATCCACCTATCACAATCCCAGTTGCAAAAATTTCACTTAGCTTCCAGCTGTCTGGTGTTGGGGATGGCTTAACTCTGTCTTTAGATATTGTCATGATAGTACCTAGAAATATATACAGAAAAATAGCATTGAGAATTGAGATGTTCTCTTGTTAAGCATATATGTATAACAATGGATTCTAAGAGAGTACCATCATTTAGAATGGCAATAATGAGAACCATAAAGGGAGGGAAATTGAACCTCCAGAAACAAGTGAGCAACATAAATCCCATCTGTTAAACAATTTCTAATTAGAACCGCAGTTTTCATATTTTTGAAAAACTTCTAGTACATAAAAGAAAGAATATAAAACTTACAACAATACGTATGGTGATGGAAACTGCATATATCTGGGGAAAAGGGAGGGAAATAAAAGAGAGATGAGTGAAATGTGAGTAAATTTGACTATTTGTAGTCACAAAATTCAAGATTTATCAACATGATCTTACAGTATAGTTTTTCATTCTTTGAAAGATTGCACGGCTAGTTAAAACAGCACTAATGATCACACTCAACCCAGGTTCTGTCAGGACTATATCAGAAGCACTGCGAGCAGCATCTGTTGAGTCTGCTACTGCAATTCCTATGTCTGCGATTTTTAATGCTGGTGCATCATTAACTCCATCACCAGTCATTCCAACTATATGTTTCTTAGCTTGAAGTCGCTTCACAATCTCGTATTTGTGCTCTAGAAAGAATAATCAAGGCAAATAACAACATCTAAAAATGGTACTTTTTCAATCTCAATACAAATAGGATCATTATTACCTGGGAAAACACCAGCAAAACCATCAGCATTTTCGATTAGCTCGTCGACTGGTAAGGCTCCAATTTCTCCATCCTTGTTTTCTCCAAGCAAAGAGGATGAAGGATACATGTTAGTGCCCATTCCAAGTCGTCTTCCTGTCTCCTTTGCAATTGCAAGTTGATCACCTGTGATCATTTTGACACCAACACCAAGATCTAGAGCTCTTCTGATAGTTTCAGCACTGTCATGGCGAGGTGGATCAAAAAGAGGAAGAAGACCAACAAATTCCCAAGGTCCACCAGGGCTGTCTTTATTACCATCAGGTACCTCCTATAAATTATTGTCACTCTCTTTATTGTTAAGAATTAAGTTAAGAAAACCTAAAATACTATAGAAATGAACCAAAACTTATACCTGTCTAGCAACTCCAAGGGATCGAAGTCCACGCTCAGCAAATTTATCAATTATTGCATGTACCTTCTTTTCAATATCTGATTTATTCCATGCCAGATTGAGAATCTGAAGTTCCCACATAAAATATGTAAGAAATTTTAGAGTCTGGTATTCTGTAAAGTGATCATAAACTAAGACTTCAACTAATAAGTACCTGCTCTGGAGCTCCTTTGCTCATTCTATGCATCTTGCCTGCACTGTCCAGGTAAGTAAGTGCTGTCCTCTTATCAGTTGGATTGAACGGAAGAAAGTGAAGTTCAGTGATTCCGGCTCGGGCCTAATATAGTAAAACAATTCAATGACCTCAGGTTCATCATAAACTTAATCTGCAGAACACAAAATAAAACATTTGATACCTCTTTAGGATCAGCCAGCATTGAAACAATAGCTGTATCAATAGCATCTTGATTTTCCAGCCTTGAAGCTCTTGCAGCCATCAATACAACCATGTCTTTGTCAACACCCTTTGCAAAAACCTATAATGAAATAGATGAAGTCAAATTTCTCTGTTATAATGCAGCAACTATCTGTATATTAACCTGATAATATACAGATAAGAGTTAAAAGTAGCACCTCTATCATAGATTTGTCAACCGTAAGTTTGTTAAGAGTTAAAGTGCCTGTTTTATCGCTGCAAAGCACATCCATCCCAGCCATTTCCTCAATAGCTGTCATTCTCTTTGTTATGGCACCCTACACAGGAAGTAGAAAAATCCTTAATATTTCTCTCAAGCTATTATATACTAGTTTGATTCAGGAAAACAAATTATTTTCACATACCTGCTGAGACAAGCGATGAGAACCTATAGCCATGGTAACAGAAAGTACTGTTGGCATAGCAATGGGGATACCACCAATGAGTAAAACTAGAAGGTTGTCTATGCCGACGCGATAAGACCTCTTTTGGCTCCCATAAATTACCACAATTTCAATCAACATTCCAATGGCAATAGAGCAAATGCAGAAGTTTCCAATAGCAGTTAAGACCTGAAACCACAAAGCAAACTCACAACTAGTAGCAGATGCTTACAGGATATTAAAGCAAGCATGACTAGAATTTCCTGATTATGTAAATTTGAACGCAATTTTGAGATGAACCTTCTGAAAATGCCCTATATGATTAGTGTTTTCAACAAGATGAGCTGCCTTTCCAAAAAAGGTATGTACTCCTGTAGCAATTACAACTGCTTCAATTTCACCTTGCTTGCATGTTGAACCAGAGTAAACCCCATCGCCAGGATTCTTAGTGACTGGAAGTGACTCTCCTGTAAGAGCAGACTAGAAAAAGAAAACATATATTGAAACCTTAAATCTCAATATAAGAACACAACTTGTCTTCTTCTTCCTTTTCTTTTTCTTTCTGCAGGAAAAAAGAATTCAGTATTGAACATTTTATGACTAGTCACCTGATCAATCTTCAAAGGATCTCCTTCAAGTAATCGAGCATCAGCAGGAATAATGTCACCTAATTTAATACTAATGATGTCTCCCGGGACCAATACAGCAGCATCTTCCTCTCCCCAGCTGCCATTACGTAAAACCTGTCGTAGACAATTTCGATACGAAGAAATAATTAAGCAATCCAAACAGCTTAAACAAGAGCTCATTATCTAAATAAGAAGATTTATGAACTAATATATGGATTTAACCTTTGCTTTTGGTGCCAGCCGAGCCATAAGAGCTGCAGCTGCATTTCCAGCATTATTTTCTTCTATAAAGCTGATGGTTGAGTTGACGATAAGCAGTGTCACAATACCAACAAAATCATGGAAATCTATCCCTTCTCGCTGAATAATGATTTTATTTTCAGTTCAATGCATTTAATTGGAGATATTTGAAGTGAAAGATAAAAGGGTATCCCTATAAACTTACTCCTCCATGTGCAAGAGCGATGGCCATAATTGCTGCACCTTCCATAACCCATGACAGTGGATTCCACATAAACCCCAAAAACTTGAGTATTTTGCTTTCCTATAAAGCAGCATATAAAAGAACTTAATTTAAGAAAAAGTTGCAAGTGAAATTAAATTTCCAATTAGAACAACAAGTGCTAAAACCATTCTTAAAAGACCTTTTTCTCTTCGAGCTTGTTTTGCCCAAATACTTCTAATCGCTGTTGAACCTCATCAGTAGCAAGACCCTTTCTTGTACATTTCAACTTCTCAAAGACTTCTTCAACAGGAATTGTCTCCTGTAAGAATCCAAATCCAGGTTACCAAACATGTTGATGTTGAAGGATGATTTATTCAGACTTGACATAAACATAAAGGTAGATGGACTTGTATCCATATTGATGTTAGTTATTACCCAAAAAGATCTCGTTTTAGATTTAACCACTAATCTATGCAAAATTCTGTTTTTACATCAGAAATAATTGAAGAAATTCCTTTTCCTTTTTGTTTCTTTTTCTACATAAACATTGGTTAACACAAAAGTAGTAGTAGTTCACTCAGGATGAATATGTACCAGATCAACAGTTTCCTTGCTAATAGCTTCAAGGGCAATTGCAGTCTTGTCCATTTCAGTTTTCCTGCTTCAGCACCCACCCTAATCTCTAGGTAGGAAATCTGCATGTTTAGAAACTTATCAATTAAATTACTTACATATGAAAAAAAAAAAAAAAAACATATTAGATTTCTAAATGGGCAAAAATCTAAACGACTGATTCTTTCAGGCATTTTCTCACCGACAAAAATGAGCTATGCAGGTTATACGAAGTCTAACAGAATCATTGGATCTTCTTCTTGTTCGGTGTATGGAATTCCTATGACTCTAATGTTTCACTTGTTCGCAACTAGAAAATAAATTCACCATTGATAATACATGTGAACATGTGCAAACATATATAACAACTATATTTGTAACCTTAAGAAATTCAGAGAATGGACTTCTTTCTCATATAGCAGGAGCTATATTGGTAACAAAAGCTATAATGGAAAAGACTTTTGCAATGTTGAAAGAGAGAGTGAGTGTTTAGATAAATGAAAAGAACATGTATATATAGCCTACAATGAAGTATGGAAAGCATCAAAAGGACATGCTGTTTAAAGTGAATCAGTGGAGGAACAAGAAGAAAAGAGCAAATGCCATTGGGTAGGAGACAGAAACTAGGCTTATGCAACTCCGCCTCCAGCAATTATGCAATTATCTATGAATATGCAACAAAGTACGTATGCAAAAATGGTGTTTCCAAAGAGAATTAAGATGCAGTTTTTAAGATTAATTTTTTGTCTTGTTTTGCGTATTTCTGCATCCTAATAAAAAAAATTTTAAAGTGCTGTTTTTTTTTACAATGCATGGTCAGACTTTTGATCTAAACAATAAGACTTCAGTGTATAGGCTCACCTATACACTGTGTAGGTAAATCTTTCCTCATAAACAGAGGTGTCTTTTTGATTTTTCTCCCGGGTTATTGCGAAATAATGGGCCCACCCAAATACCAAAGGATGGTATTTTTAGCCGATTATTAAAAAAAAAAAAGAAACATTAATAAATTTTTAAAATACCCTTATATCGGCTTGGTGTATGGGTGTTCAAGTGTACACAAGTCTGATCATACTTCTAAATACCCAAATAAATTAGGCTAGACTACCCATTTATCTAAAAAGTTAGGATTCAATTTGTAATTTGGAGCTGTTGATTTTACCTAAATACCATTTGCAATGCAAGGATGTGTATAAATAAGCATTGAGCAAACTTTGAAAAAAATTAGAAATCAAATCGAATCAAATTATTTTCAATATTTGGTCCGACTATTTGAGTTTTAGTTTTAGTTTCAGCTTTAGTTTGAAATCTTTTACAATTTCGATTTTCAGTTTTTAGATCGGTCTTCCAAAATATTTATTTTTTGAGTAGAATCGAATTATTTAACTGAACTAATGCCTATCGAATTGAACCGATCAATTTGGTTCGGTTTCCAAATTTATTTCAGTTTGATTTAGATTTTTAAAAAATCTATTTTCAGTTTTATAGTTCGGTTCGGAATTGAACCACCCGTTATATATATAGTTTTATAAGTTTTCGGTCGGAATTGGAACCACGTTTATATATATATATATAAATATATATATATGTATCTTATATATGATAAATTCTACTTGTTGGATAATATATTGATAAATTCACTTGTTGATATTCGATGCTACCAAAACATTCCAAGCAAAGCTCATCTCATTGGAGAAATCATACTCTCACAGATTCGTACGGATTTTTATTTGTCATTATTGGCCTACTGTTACCAAGGGCTAAGAAAAGATTTGGCTTTTGGATTAAGTGGGTGTTAGGGATTTGTAATGACAATAAAAAAGGGAATACAGACCCATGTCTCAATTCTAATTGTTTCACTATAAGTTAGTGAATTGGTGAACTAGATCTAGGGCTAATTAAGTATTCTCTGTTTTTAAAATCAATCAAACGGATTAAATCGAATCGATTCTGTTTAATTTTTAACATATTTGGTTTACTTTTGGTTTTTATAGAAAAGAATGGAATTTTTTATATTAAGTTCGGTTTTTAATAAACCTAAAAAATAAGTCTAGAATTGTTGAAAATAGTTAAAAACTCGCGAAACTATGAAATTAAATTGATTAGGTTTAATTCAAATTCTATATATTTTTTCGATTCGGTTCAATTTCCATTTTTAAAAACATTACCTATTCTATTTAATTTGCGACCATTTAATTTGGTTTGAATCCGCCCAAAAGCTCATGCAAGCATCAAAACCAGAACTAGATATGCGTTGCAACAAGAAATCTAGTTAATTAATTAAATAATCATTAATTTTTTTTAAAAAAATTATATATTCTATTAGCAATCAATGCCCAATTTAGGTTTTTCCAATTTGGATATTCTTCTTCACCATAGCCAATTAAATCCAAGAAAAGTCATGTTGCACAAAGGATGGCCCATATGGAAAGATACATATGGGCCTTGTGCTCTTTGGATTAAAGGATTTGTTCTTTTTTTTTTTTTTAGCTTTTTAGAATTGGATTTTTCTACTTGCACATAAATTGCAACTTTATCTTCTTTCCAAAACTTCAAAATATTAAGGCACAATTTCCCATTGTTTGAGCATTCTAAAAATTAAGTTTAATTGAAAATATTTTTCTGGTCAAAACAAAATTAACTCATTTTTAAGAAAAATGACTTTTCATTTTTAAGAGAGTAAAATATGTTCTAAATAAATTTACTATAACTTTATAAATTTATATTTTTTTTAATTTATTAATCATTGTTAGTCAGTATCACTTCTCACCGTTCGTTGCCAGGCACCACCAATGATGCCGTCAGCTACCACCACCGATGCCTAACGACTTTCCTAATTTTTTTTATTTTTTTACATTATTCTCATATTTAACAATAATTTAAAATATAAAATTTATATTATTATTATTATTACTATTATTATGGTCATGTGAGTTAAAATTTTTCATAGAAGATGACAAGCCTTACCGTAAACCATGCGATATGGAGACATACCGATTGGTGTTTTGAATGCGGTTCTGTAAGCCCATAGAGCATCATCGAGCTTCTTGGACCAGTCCTTCTTAGATTGTCCAACAGTAGTCTCCAGGATCTTCTTGATTTCTCTGTTGGTAAATATATATTGTCACGACCCGTTTCCATGGGCCGGACCGGCACTAGGACCTGGGTGGGCTTAAGGCCCCCGAAGCCCATAGTAAGCCTATATTATACAAATGTCATTTCCTATTCATAACCGTGGATGCAAGCCCAATAATTTATTTCAGTTATGTATCACTAATACAGTTCGTATATTTAATATGGACTTTTATTATTTATTTACAACCCAACTGGAATACAATTGCGGAACTCTACATTTACATTTACATCGTCATTTCTATCATTAACAATCTTCTATAATTATTGTCTCAACTCCATACAACTCCATAGGGCTTTCCTTTCTTTCTATTACCTGAAAAAAAATAGTAGGCAGGGGTGAGCGCCAAACTCAATGAGTAGGGTTAGATGACCCTCTCGCCCCACATAATCACACAGATGCTAAAATATTTTTATCTGGTCACCGATTTAATTATATGATCATGCAGTTTGTCATACAAATGGTAATAAAAAAGCAATCACAATTATGATCACCTTCATATAATCATATCACGTGGAAATTAGCCAGTGGCGCCACCTGGAAATTAGTCAGTGGCGTCACCGAAACCCCAAATGAGCTGTCCTCCCACATGGCCCATCCTCTCATAACGTGTGCACCAAGGAGCCGATCCCCCATAGATGGCCGACAGGTCTAATCCTCACTTGACCAGCCCTCTCATTTTTTTTCCAGTCTCTCTTTTCTTTTCCATACCAACAGAAGGCAACCCAGTCGTCTCCTTCAAATCTAGATCATCAGCCGCACACAACAGGAGGCCACCCTGCGGGCTACCATCAAATCCAAATTATCAGGTGCGCCCAATAAGAGACCACCCTGTGGTTTTCCATATCATCCAAGTAGGTGACACGGGGGCGCGATCTTCGCCATTTACCGGCTTAACAGTAATCAGTATCAGGATCCATATAACGGTAACGGTCTCACAAACCCATGGTGATCCACTTCATCCCAATTCCACACAAACAAGGCACAGCAATATCACAGCACAAGTAATCAAGCAATATTTAATATCAACAAATAGTGCATCACAATATGGCGATAATGCATGATAACATTTAGTCGTAAATGCATGAATGCAGGCAGATGAGGCGAATTATCTAACATTACTCACAGTTTTTGTTGTCCTTAAAAGGATTGCCTTTCTTATTGTGCGCTTCTAGCCTTTTTTGTTCACATTCCGACACTTTATAAATATCTATATAATAAGAAAATTCTAAATAAGATTTCTAATTTGGGAAATGCAGTTTACATTCATTTATTTGTTTTTGGTTAACCAGTCTTTAAATTCACTTATTAAATTTAAACTATATATAATTTATAGATATATATTGGGTTTCCTTTATTTATTTATCATTCTAATGACTCTTATTCTATATTTCTTTTAACCTTCTATAAATAATTTAATTTCTATAAGTATTTAATTTTCTTATATCTTAATTTTAATTTTCTAGGCCGAAATTATCGGTCAGCATCTCCCCTAAAAATTAAGACTATCCACACTGTTTAAAATATCAAAATTTTCAAAACAATATTCAACTAATCCATACGGCGCATCCGTCAGGCATTAAATCAAATAAAATTTTTCCCATCCCCTTCAATTCAACATCCCACACAACCAAAATTATAATATACATTAAATTATACCATATATATAATTCTATATATATATAATTAATATATCATTATCAAGGTTTCTTAATTAAATCCAACGAATGGAAATTTACTAGAATTAAATCATGCAAAATAAATTAGCTACTACAACTAGAAAAACATTATAATAGTCCTAATATATATATATATATAATATGCTGCCGAAAAATACGAGGGAATATATAGAATAGAGAAAAAGGGAGCTACGGTGCTGGAACTTAAGCAAGTGGTAGAGCAAAATGGCATGAGTCGACCAACACCAAGTTGCTGCGCTCAAAAACAAGCGACTGCGCCGCAGGTGGCGCGTGAGACTAGAGGTAGGGGAGCATGGCGTGCCGATTGAGAGAGGAGAATAAGGTGGACTGCTGGCGGAGCTGCTAGCGCGGAGCTGCTGCGGCGGCCAGTTGCGGCGAGGAGCACCGGTGGCGCGCGATGGCGTGGGTGGCGCGGCTCTGCTGCTCTGTCTCACCAGAAATGCAAGCGCAATGAAGAAAGGAAGAAAGAAAGAAAGAAAATAAAAGAAAGAAAAGAAGAAGAAGAAAGTGGAGGAGAAGGCTGTGGTGGTGCTGCGTACAGGTGGAGGCATAGAATGGTGTAGGGGAGGGTGAAGTATGCGCTGGAAATAGGGGGAGAAGAGGGTTCTAGATGTGATT